GTGGAAAGAGGGGTTTTTGACGGTAATGTGGCGCGTCGCAACTTTATCTACAAATTGGACAGTTTGACAGCTCAAAGACTTTTTCATAAACTAGCGTAACTTTTCGTGTTGCGCTCCCAAAATGAAAACGAACAACAACAGTAACAAAAAAGCAGCAGCAGCAGCAGCAGCAGTAGCTGTAAGAGTTGCGAAAGTATTTTTTAGTGCACATTTCATAGATTTACAACTTTATAGAGAAACAACAAATCGATTTCTCTGCGAACGCTTCTTGACTTTTCTCTCTCTCGCTCTCGCTCTCGCTCTCTCTCTCTCTCTCTCTCTCGCTCTTGTCTCAAGAGCCCGCGGCAAATTGCAACACATTAGCGTTGAAAGGTTGGGGTTTTGGGTTTTGGAGATTATTCACATATATTCGTTTATTGATACCTTGGACTGTCTTTGCAGATGGAATGTAATTGAATGCCTAATTATGCCAATCTTTACTCTGATTTATAAACTTAGAGAAAGAATGCAAGAGAGCTCATTCAGAATGTTGTTGTTATGTTTCCGTACACAACAATACAGTAAACATTATTAATTTAACTTACTATACTATTCGCAATAATAACAACAATTAGGGTATTGTTAACTTCAAATTTAAGTATCTCTTTCAGATGAAGAGTATCTTTTGCCAATTTCTTGAGATTTATTGACTTTCTGTGAAATCTCACAATTCGCAATACACTATCATTCCAATGTACTTTTTGGAAACATATAACGTGGATAGCTCAAATTATCTAATCGAATTGTAAGAAACTCCGATTGTACATTTAAGGAAAGTTAGAACTTTGTTGGAATGCGAACTGTTATTGTCCATGAAAATTCTTATTTATTTCGAAAACAGTTTGGAAATCATCATGCTCTTAAGATGAAGTGTTCAATTTAAAATATTAATTTTCATATACCGGAATTCTTAGCAGGACAGAAGCCAACGCGCTCGTCATGCAGGGAAGCACTGCATTAGCCCAATCAGGTTCGGCTTTAAGCCCTTTCAGTGCCTTAACATAATTTAGTCAAATTGGCGAATGGCGAAGTCAATTAAACAAATATGAAATTTTCCGTACAGGCAGCGAAAAGCGGGTTTGCTGACTGTCAGAGATATGGAGAAGAGGTGCTCGTAGATGAGGATTGTAGATGGGAGTTGGGTGGAGTTCACTGAATGGGCTTCTTCAAGTTCGGTTGGTCGGTCAGACAGACAGACGGTCACTCATTGCACTTTATGCGTTAAAAATAAATTCTCAAGTGCTTTTGTGTGCCAGCAAACGCCGAGGGCTACGGCGACTGCGACTGCGACGTCAGCAGCAAAGGCGGCTCCTTTTGGGTATGCAACACTTTTTTGTATTCAGCAACTTCTGTTCTGTTCTGCTTACGCGTGTGTGAGTGCGAGTTTGAGTGTGTTTTGTGTGTTGAGTGCCACTTGCCAACGTATTTATGTGTGTGCAGCTCTTTGGCTTTTGACACACACACACCACACACACACACACATATGTGCAGACACGCCACTTGAATTGTTGTTTAAAAATGATTAAAAGCTCAACAAAAAAAAAATAATAATAACGGCAAACTCTAAATAACAAATGACATGGGCAAGTCTATATTGTAAATGATAGAAACGATACATACCCTGCACATCCAGCCAGATGAGACACACAAAAGTGTCTGTAGCTGCAAGATTTAAGGTTATATTTCAAATGCAAAAGTATCTGTTAGATGCAAATGCATTAATTCGATTTAAAAGAAAATTTTAATTTTCAGTCAACTTTTAGTTTCGCACAGCTTACCAGAAAACACATGTCTAACTCAGGCACATCCTTGCTTATTTTTCAAGCACATTTCACTGGTAGAACGAACGGAAACGAGTTGACAGACGAAAGTTCCTGTTTTCTCGGAAACTACTGGCATGATTTTGCTGTCCTTTGTCCACTTGCAATGCCATGTTTACAACCAAGCTTTTGAAATACAACTCGACAATTTTATGCCTTATTTATTATGTGTGTGTGTGTGTGTGTGTGAGTGCTTTTCTTTAAGTTTATTTCAGCTGTTTATATTTAATGTTTATGTTTATGTTTTAATCGGCATGATAAGGACTCTTGCCTATACAGAGGACATACGAATGGTCTTATAAATTAGCATAATTTGAGCTTTTTTTTTAAATATTTCTCATTTTTTCGGTGTATAAATAACGCTTTAAGATTCTTAAGAATAGGCAGAGTCACAGCTTAAAAACGAATTCCATAAATTGTCGATCAAATAAATGTTGCATACTTATTGGGGCGCATAGAATAACTTTTTTAATGATAGCCTATGGAATCAATACTTGTTAATAGTATAATTTAATTATGTTCGTAAAGTATTCATGTGGTAAGCTAAACATTACAACAGAAGACAACGCCAAACAGTCGTCCACAAAAGTCGTCCTTTTTGGAGCGTGGAGTCGGCTGGCAAAACCAAGTTTGTAAAGATAGATTCAATAGGTAAATATTTTAGATGGATGATTCAAAATAAAAGATTAAACTGTAATTGGCTTACTATTATCCATGTAAATGAAATAAGCAAAAAATCGCAAAAACCTTTAAGCTGTTTTATTGTTATCGACACATACATTGGTGTTCCACAGATACTTTTATCAAACATACACTTTTTGATTTTAGTCCTTCTTTAGCATTAACACCTTTACTTTTATGCAGATCCTTTTGGGCTAGTCCCAGTTACCCGCTGCAACTGTCAACAATTTTCGTGCGCTCAAAGTATATGAAACCGGTACGGAAGTGGAGCTGGCGTAGCTGAGCAGAATGAAGCCACCCCTGAATCCATCCCCGACTCCATTGCCAACGCCGCGTCACCGTCACCGCAGGCTCAGCGGTGCAAAATGAGTGCCACTTGCCGCTTGTCGTGCGGCCAACCGACTATATAATTTACAAGCCATGCAGGACAGCATTCAGCACAGTGCCTCCAAATATTATTTGCAGCAACTTTGCTTGCTTTTAATTACTTACTTGTGTATTGTTTGGTTGCTCGTAATATCTCTATCATATTCTTGAGGAAGTCAAGAAACGTCCCAAAGATATCAAATTCTTTATAATATTTTTTTTGTTTTGCTCATTTTAAAAGAAACAAAAAGATGAGCACTGTTTGGCTATACTTATGAATATAAAAGAGGATTGTATGTCGACACACAAATAAGTTTCGTTCCACTGTGCACTGGCAGCTTTTGTCGTCGTTTTTTGGCACGTGTGCGAATCATTTAGTGTTTCATATGCTTAAAATGCTTTTGTGCATTACTGCACCTGTTCTTTATACCATCCAGTTGCACCCGCCCCTCCTTTGGCCTGCCCCAAAATAACACTCATCCTGGCCAGCACCCTTGCAAAGGGAATTGCAGGCATTTTTATTGTCTTCTCAGTTCTTATATTTAAATATTTATGCGTGCAAAAAAAAGAACAAAATTGTTTATATATATATATATATATGTATATATATTTAGAAAGAAAAAACACATTATGCGATTTGTTGCCCTTTACTGTGAAATATATGAAGGCATTCGTTTATGATCCCAAAATGTGCATATACCAACAGGTGATTTAATATAGTCCTGGCATAAGCATAAGCATAAAATATTGAGCCATACATTACCAAATCTATATATGCATTATACTTGAACCTGAATTCATATCGATGGCCTAGCGAAGTTTAGAAAATTACCATTATACTATAAAAAAAAAAAATTGGAATGATTTTGCAACATGTACATTTTTATTCAAAATTAAGAATATCATTTTCAAATTTTCCCCCAAAGATAAGAACATTTTGTATATTCTGAATACATATTTTTTGATTTTTATCTTGATCAATGTTTGTAATCATCAACGTAAAAATGTACTCAAGCCATTCTCTGCTGACTATTTCATATTTTATTCGTAGAAAACTCGTTAATGTTTGTACTTATTCACATCATAGAAAATGAAAATACATTGAAATCATTTTTGTAGTTTGGTGCACAAAGTTAAAAGAAAGTTAAAGGGAACTATACTGATCAGTAATTGACAAACGATGCGCTCCAATCCGTAGTCATTAAGTTTGAATTTAAGGGCCACTGTCTAGCTGTGCCTAGTTCACCCTTGACCTACAGCTTGTAACTTAAAATAATATAAAAAACAAGCACTCTTGGAATACTGTGCTATCAACTAAGAACGTATTTTTTAATCGAAAATTGCAGTCAATAAGGTTTAAAAAGAAAGATATATACGAGGAAACGCAATTAGATTTGTTGAAACTATTTTGCTAAGCTTTGCTCTCTCTATTTATGTATGTATATCTATCTATGTGCGAGTGAATATAACAGGCTACAAAATGGTATAAAATTCAGAACTACAAAAATAATGAAAGCAAAAAAACTGACATTCGATCTATATACAAATTCGATATTAGAATGTGTGCTAAACTGTGTGAATATAAAACTGTGAAATGAATTATATTCTATGTTTACTCTGCTAATAGGAATATTTCGCTCTGATCAATCTAGCTGCATCTGTAAATGTGGCCGCAATAATAATGTCTCGACAGCTGTCGCCAATCTGAATATCTTCTCGCCATGTCGTTGCTTGGGAAGTCCTAGGCCAATTGTAAACTGTTTGACTGGACTCTGGACTCGAACAAAATGTAAACAGCTAAGATTGATATTGCTTACGCAACTGCAGTCGTATTGCTTAAATCGTTACAAATGTTCCACTTAGTTCATAGATGAATCGCTAAAGTAAGCAATGTTAGATGATAATTGTCAAGATTGCCTTCAAATTAAAGGCTGAATGCTGCCATATTAAAGTAAATATTGAATACTTCATAGTCATGGACCGAGTCCATCAGATGTATGTATTAACTATGGAATACAATTGTATTGGATTTGGGCGCCTAATCTCTTCTTCTTTTGATTTCCACATATAAGTTACTGTTACAATAGTTGTGTTCATTTTTTGAATATAATTATAAATCGTTATATATATGTATATACATTTCGCTTGTTAGTGTAAAAAAAAAGCAAAAAAAAAAAAGAAAACTGAAAATTTTATAGTTTATAAAATGTAAAAAGTTCTATAACAAGTTTGTTTCGTTTTTTTTTTATTATTATTTTTTTTAAGCTTTTATGTTTCCTTCCTGTTTCTGTTTGTTCTGCTAACTATACATAAAAGTATGTATGCGTGTGTGTGTGTGTGTGTGTGTGTATACATGTATGCTGATTGTGTGGTTTTGTTGTCTCTGTCACAATGCCGTCTCGCTTGCACAAACCAATTCTGCGCTATTTTCTATTTGACAATCGTAAGATTGTTCAGTGTGTGTGTGTATATATATGCCTGTATGTCTGTACGTGTGTGTGTGTGTGTGTATAATGATAATGATGATTGATGGTTTAAACCGAATTACGCTCCTCTGGAGACACCTCCAAAAGGAATCATAAGGATGATTCAACCAACTCTCTTCTTTGTCATTGTTTTCTTCTGATTGTTGTTGTTGTTGTTGTTAATAGTGTTTCTTTTTATTTATGTTTGTTGTTGTTGTTGGTGTTGTTCTTTAAAGAGATAAGCTTATTGCTGTTCTTCTGGTTGCTGTTGGTGTTGTAAGGATTGTTGCAGTTGTTGTTACAGTTGTTGTTGTGGTTGTTGTTGGTGTGGCAGTCTTGTTTGCTTGGTCGCTTCTAAGACGCTGCCATAACCGACACTGGCGCCGACGGCGCTGACGTCTCATGCGAATCGAGATGATTGAGCTGCTGTTGCTCCTCCTCGGCACGCAGCTTGGCTGCTTCCTTCTCCTGCAGCTGTGCCTCCAACTCCTCGATATTGCGAAAGATGCGAGCGTATTGGAAGCGTTGCTGACACTTCAGCTTATATTCCTCCGCCTCCTTCTCGCAGTCACCAAAAACATCGCCGTCGCGCAACGCCGTGTAGATCTTGATTGCCTCCTACACAATATAAAATCTAAAGATTAGGAAGAGAGCAAGAGTTTAATTGATTTGATGCGCACCTCTAATCGCAGCTTGCTCAGATTAAAGCCGGTGATGAGCTTGATGGCTGCGTCCTTTTTGCTGGGATCCAGCTCGTAAAGGCCACGTGCGCCTTCGTATAAATGCAATATGGAAGAAGCATGATGCTTGGCAATGAATTCATCGTTCAGCTGCTGTGGCGTTTTGGTGCCTATCAGTTCTTTGGTGGCCTTATCCAGCACCTTTTGCACGTGCACGTTGAACGGCTGCTGCTTTTGGGCACTGGCCAGCGCCTTCATGAAGCGTATAATACAGCTGTGTAGCACCGGATGCGCCGGATTCAAGGCCCGCGCACGCTGTATCGATTGCAGCATTAGCAATAACTTATTCTTCCGATTGTAAACCTCGAAGGCCAGTAAATGCGTCGCACTGTTCTCTTTGGCTAATTGCTGTAGCGGCTTTAGAAACTCAATGGCCTTCTCCAGCGGCTCATCGGTCCGCTCCAGTTTCTCCGGTATTAGCTCATCCAGTTGTGGGGCATCGGGATCGGATTCCTGATTGGCCTGCTGCTTCGATTTCTGATGCTGTTCACGCTTCACCTGCGCCTGTGCTGCCTGTGCGCTCTCCAACTCGGCTTTCTTCTTGGCCTTGCGCTGTTTACTGCGCAGCTTCTTCAGCTCCGATGGCGGCAGGTTCTCTGTATACAATATACATCTCAGTCAGTGTGTTCTTCTGTTTGTGTGTGTATATGTGTGTGTGTGTTTGTTTTCTCGCCGTTTTACTCACCGATATCAATTTCCTCAATCGTTGTCTCTGATTTGAGGGGCTTGTCGTACAAGTGTATGTAGAGCTCGATGGCGCACTTGGCCGCCTTGAAGTAGAACGGATGACGACGCAGCACATCCTCAAGACGCAATAGACCCACATACGCGCGCAGCGTCATCTTGCGCATGCAATACGTGTGAAAATCGAACTGATCCTCAATGATCTCAGCAAAATGACGATCCACCTCGTGGCACTTCTTTAGCGCATCGCCCCATCGGCCCGTTCGCTGAAAGGCCATAGCGCATTCCGTTTGGAACCACATGCATTGCATCTCATTCAGATTGTCCATGGGTGAGACGCCCTCGCGCGTAAACTTGGCGCATACCTCCTCCGCTTCAATCACCATATCCGCACGCAGCATATACTTGGCGCACTTCGAGTTGATATAGCTGCAAAAGATATATCACATTATTGTATTAGATGACCATCTATCTAAGTATGCATGTCGTATGTCGTATGTCGTATGCCGTACCGATCCGCAGTGTCCATGCTCTGTGCCTCCTCGAGGCAAACGTACGCCTCGACCGGATCACCGGCATGCTTGAAAATGCGACCCTTCGTGATGAGGAGCTCAATCAGCGTTGGCGTATGATCGATGGCCGCATTAATATACTCCAAGGCACGGTCTGTGTCACGCATATAATCATAGTGCTGCGCCAGAAATAGCGCCGTCCAGACCAACGCCGAGGCCGGTTCGACGGGCACACCGGCATCGGCGTCTTCGCGCGAAAAGTGGCCGGAGCGCGTCAGATTCTCAAAGTATTGCAGCGTCAAGGACTCAATAACGACCGCCTTGTCCGCCTCCTGATGCAGTGTACGCACATTAACAAACAGCGGCGGTACACCCTTGCGTAGGCCACGGCGCAAATACTCATCGGCAACCACACGAAACTCGTCGCCGTTGGCAATATTCAGGGGCAGGCGACGTGGGCAGAGGGCTTGAGGATATTCCGCCTGGAACTCACGATACACGGAGACAATATCGCTGGAACTGCTGACACGACGCGCAACCATATATTGCTCATAGTAGAGCACATTCTCCGGATTGCGACGGATGAGTGACTCAAAAATTGGCACTCCCATCTCGTGCAGATTCAGCTTAATATACAAATCGCCAAGAGTTTCGCGCACAGCCAGTTTGTCGACAATTAGCGGCTCGTACTTGAGCAGATGAACGAGAGCCTGCTGCAGATGCGACGATTCGATGAGTATCTGGTTCTGGTACAGCAACAGCTCCGAATGGCGATAGTCATGGGGCTCCTGTTTGACAAATTTTAATCGAGACAAAGATAGTGGTGTTAAGCGGAGCAGTCAAATTGAATGTGTTACCGAGTTTACTTACAATTGACGTCTGCGACTGGCTAAACGTCTCGAGAATGTTGTTGGCCATCTCGTGGTCGCCCAGCAGATGATAGCTCATGGCGAAGCCAATCCAAGAGGCATGCTGCGAGGGTCGGAGCGCGAACAGATGATGGCGTGTCTCCTTGTAGCCCTCAAGGTCGCGCATCTGTATTTGCAACAGCGACAGATCCTTCAATATCTGCAGATTATCCTTCTCCCATTTCAACGCATTACGATAGCACTTAATCGCTTCATCATACTTTTTGTCGCTGCGCTGCAGCAGGCCATACACATGCCAGCAGACATGGGAGCGCAAATCGTTGCGCAGACCCAGGCGCACATACTTGTAGGCCTCGTCACGACGACCCAATCCGTTCAGCGTTAGCCCCTTCATGGCCAGAGTCTCGCCGTGTTCCGTAAACTTGGGATTTGAGAGTATCTGCTTGGCCAGCTTGAGGCCGTTTTTGTACTGCTTCATTTCGTAGCATTTCTGTGCGGGTGCGGAATGCCAACTAATTATTAAATCTACATTTATATGTCTTTTTATATATTTAATAATTTCTTTAAATGTGATTCGATTGATTTTTGAGTGACGCGAGTTGTGGTCTTCTTGAAAGTGAATGGGTTCAGTGCATTTGAAGTGATGTTAAAGTTAATCCAATATATAATATATATATATATATATATGCATATATATACATATATATTTATTTATGTATTTGACGGACATTGCAATATTTGTGTACCTTTGGAACTACTGCTCTCAATTTGATAAGCGACAATTGTTGTGTGGAAATAGATCAAATGTCGATCAATTGTGTGATCGAGCGCACTAACAATTGCCAATCAGCGCAAAAAGCCCGCCCGACCAACCAACCTACAAAGCAACCAACTAACCAACCAACCAACCAACTAACCCCTCTTGTCGCCCGGCTCGCTCGCTCGATTCAATCGAAGTTTGAGGTTATGCGACGGGCTTAACAACAAAAACAGACGATTGTTTTTGCATCGGCGAAACCTTTTTGGGGTAAGGAGTAGCAACCTTTACCAGCACATTACTAATTCCAATTGGAATCGTAACCAGTGACTTCCATTGTCGTTGTTTTTCTGTAATGCCAAAAATAGGCGCAACGAAAAAGCACATGATAACCTGTGTGTGCGTTGGTGTGTGTGTGTGTGTGTGTGTAGTTTGTAAGTGTGTAAGTGTACTTGTATGTGTGTGAGTGTATGTGTGTATGCATGACAGTAGATGGAAATGTAGCCGGCGATTAGGGGATTACAGAATGCAGATGGTTAATACACATATATATATATATATATATATATGTATTTGTGGGCTTACCAGTAATTTACGGAAGAGCGCAGCCTCCTTGGGCGGCAGTGGTTCGCTGGAAGGCATCTTCGAAGTTTGCTGCTGCTGCTGCGACTGCTGCTTCTTCTTCAGCTGCTACTTTTGCACCGGATTGAAAATTCTTCTGTTCGCTAAGAGGGGGAGCTATTATTCTTATTATAAATGTAATTACTTAAGCGTGCGATTATAATTTTTGGCCCAGGCACACCGCACAAAAAAAAAAACACACACACGGCGTTACAAATATATATATTTTCTATGGGTAAAATATACCGCGAGCACGAGCAAAATTTCGTCTTGACGGTGAGACAGCAACATTAACGCAATATACTCATGCAGCATGTGTTCGCGCACCGATTTGAATGGCAATTGGGAGCGATTCGATTTATATCATTTGCACAGAACGCAGTTAGTCAGTTAGACCCAACGGTAGCGCACATTTGCTAGATTCAATGCAATACTTACTTTTTAATTAACTTAATAGTCAATTTGATTTTATAAATTTTTCGTGTCGGTCCGCACACAGGCACTGGGATCACAGCTGAGTGCCACTGTCCAAGTGGCAAGAAGCAGCTGTAACAGCGGGCAAGCACTTGTTATGTAAATCGTTTGAATTATTACTTAAAACAAATGTAATGCGTTAATGTGGGACTGTCAGTCTATATATTTAATGCATAAACGCTATCACACACGTTCTTTTGCTTAGTATATTTCCAGACTCGACGAAAAGTTCATATATGTGCTCACCAATGCTGACATCAGCTGTCAAAGCAGAAATGGCGTATCGATAATGCTCTTCTCAAATATCGAACCATCGCCACCAAAATATCGATATCAAAGCTAGTTGTGACCTTTTTGAAGCAATTCCCGAGTAAATACTAACATGAATTCTTTGGCCAGACTTGGGAGCTATGTTTGCCAAAGTGTGCAAATCGCCGGCTGTGGCGTAAGTTCCTCTAATATAACAATTTCTACACTTATATTATAAATATATATATATTTGATATTTGCAGTTGCAGCAAGTGCGCACAAAATACGCCGACTGGCGAATGATTCGCGATGTGAAACGGCGCAAGTGCGTCAGCGAGCATGCCAAGGAACGTTTGCGGGTAAACTCGCTACGCAAGAACGACATATTGCCTCTTGAGCTGCGTGAGGTGGCCGACGCAGAGATTGCCGCCTTCCCAAGGGATTCATCATTGGTTCGTGTGCGAGAACGTTGCGCGCTTACGTCACGTCCGCGCGGAGTGGTCCACAAATATCGTCTCAGTCGAATCGTGTGGCGTCACTTGGCGGACTACAACAAGCTGTCGGGTGTGCAGCGTGCAATGTGGTAGAATTAAGCTGTTTTGTTTCCCTTCGTTTCATTTAGCATTGTCACAAGCTATACAAATAAATACATAAATCTAATTGAATAGCGCTGGCACAGCTGTTTTCATCGCCTATCGTCTTTCGATAGCGATAAACGGTTAGCATACCACTCGGCCGGCAACTCGGTTTGTTTACTGTTCAAAATGAGCAGCAGATCAAGCAAAGTGGGCAATAAGCGCCGCAACGCAGCAGGACAGTCGCTCAATTTGGTTGAGTTTAGTTTTCTGGATCACAAGGCGACGCTGCGCGGTCTGCTGCTAACGAAAGGCCGCCACCAGCTGAGCCTCGTCGAGAACGAGTCGGACTTTTGGAAGTTTGTCAACAAATATGAATCCATGCTGCGTAGCATTGGGCAGCCGGTGCTGCCACCGCTGCTCACCAATTTTGAGCACACACAGCCGCAGCCATATCACAAGGGCAAGCACCTCTCACTGCAGCTGGACGAGGAGGCGCTACGGCGTGACAACAGCAGCAGTAGCAGCGATGAGCTGCAGTCACAATTCCTGCAGTTGGTGCTCATCTACCTGGACTTTAAGCAAAAAGAAAAATTCAATCGCATCAAGAAATTGCGTCAGGCCCAACGTGCGCTGCCCATTGCACGGTTCAAGGAAGATTTGCGCAGCTCGCTGGACGTGTCGCGTGTCCTCATTGTTGCAGGCGACACGGGCTGCGGCAAGTCCACACAGGTGCCACAGTTTCTGTACGAGTTCGGCTATCGCAGCATAGGCAAGTCAAATTCAACTCTACACAGAGCAAAGCTAGTCAATTATAAATATAGCTTATTCAAATGAGATAGAGCCATATCAATCATGTATATTCCTCTGTTTGATCTGTCTCTTGTCTATACGAACTAATCCGTCAGTTTAAAATCCAGCTGCACCCGTTGGTTTGTCCTGGCCAAAATCTGAACTCTTTGGTTGTTAGACGTATCTGATAACTGATTTGCAATCCTCTCTTTTTGATAGCCTGCACCCAACCGCGTCGTCTAGCGTGCGTGACGCTATCAAAGCGTGTGGCGCACGAGCTACTGGATGACTATGGCAGCAAGGTGGGCTTCCAAATCCGCTTCGAGCGCAACAAGACGCAGAATACACACATTTTGTTCATAACGGAAGGATTGCTGTTGAGGCAGTTGGCAGTGGCCGCCAATCTGGAACAGTACGATGTCCTCATTTTGGACGAGATCCATGAGCGCAATCTCTTTGGTGATTTCTTGCTGGGCGTGACCAAGTGTCTGCTGCGCGCAAAGCCGCAGCTTAAGCTTATACTTATGTCGGCTACCATCAATGTGGAGCTGTTCCATAACTTCTTCAAGGAGGAGGGCGCACGCCTGCTGCAGGTGCCCGGCAGACTGTTTCCTATCAAGATGCGCTACATGCCGCCCCCGGCGCTGGAGCTAAAGGCAGGTCAAGCCACAGCAACGGGCAGCAAGCGTTCTCAAGGTGCGCGTTTCGATCCGGCGCCATTTGTTCAAGTGCTCTCTCTCATCGACCAACAGTATCCGAGTACGTGACCCAAATCAATAACAATATCCCATTTAAATAACGTGTACTCAATCTCAATCTCTCCATCTGTCAGGCACGGAGCGTGGCGATGTGCTCATCTTTGTCAGCGGCGTCAATGAGATCGACAGTGTTTGCGAGGCCATTAAAGAATATGCCAAGGAACAAAGCTGCTGGTTGGTGCTGCCGCTCCACAGCGGACTCGCCCTCGCCGAGCAGGACAAGGTCTTTGACTATCCGCCAGATGGCATGCGCAAGTGCATCGTCTCCACGAACATTGCCGAAACGTCGCTGACCGTGGACGGTGTGCGCTTTGTCATTGACTCCGGCAAGGTGAAGGAGATGAGCTACGATGCCAGCTGCAAGGGACAGCGGCTCAAGGAGTTCTGGGTATCCAAATCATCGGCGGAGCAGCGCAAAGGTCGTGCCGGACGTACAGGACCAGGCGTAAGTCTCTCATTTGTAATTTGTAATTTTAGACTTGACTTGGAACGCTTTATCATTAAAACATAGATATTTTTATAATAGAAGTGAACACTGATCTTTTAGACAAAAAAAAAAATAGTTAAAATATAGTTCAAAACTTATGCAAATTTAAGATAAGTAAACATTAAAAATTAGCATAGCTACAAACTTTATTAACAAAAAAAATGAAGTCCCTTAATTCAATAATTTTTATATTTATTTTATAATTATTTTTTATCATAATAGTAGTGGAAAAATAAAATAGTGCGGTTAAATAATATTTCTAAAAACTTGAAATATTGTCTGGTTATATTTTAGTTGTTCCATTTAATTTAGAAGAAATATTTGATATTTTGAATAACATTTTCGAAAGTCTGTTTTTTGCATATGCAAGCGTTGAATTTATAATAAGTTGGGCGAACATTAGATATGATCATCACCTGAGGAACAGAAACCTTTCAAACTGTTTAACCAGAGAATTTTCGCATGTTCGCCACAGGTTTGCTTCCGATTGTTCACACAGCAACAGTTCGATGGCTTCGAGGCGTATCCCACGCCGGAGATCAATCGCGTGCCGCTGGACACAATGCTTCTGCAAATGGTATCCATGGGACTGCCGGATGTGCGCGCCTTTCCCTTTGTCGAGTCGCCCGAAGCGGAGCGCATCGAGCTAACGATACTGGGACTCAAGCAGCATGTAAGTGGCAAGGAACCTGAATCACTGAATTGAACTAATAAATGCAATCCATGATGCAGTGCGCACTCAGCGTGGATGAGAAGATCACGCCGCTGGGCAGCTCGCTGGCCAATCTGCCCGTAGAGCTGCCCATTGGCAAGATGCTGCTGATGGGTTGTGTCTTCCCCGAAGTGGAGCAGCTGCTTACACTGGCCGCCATGCTGAGCGTACAGAATCCATTGACGACACGTGCCCACATGGATCAGCGATGCGAACGCGAACGTCAGCCTCTGGAATCGGATCAGGGTGATCTGTTCACGCTGCTGCGTGCCTATCGCAACTGGCTGCAGCTGAAGATGGGCCTTGAGAATACGCGCAAGTGGTGCCATCGGCTGGGCATTGAGGAGCAGCGCTTCTATGAGGTATGCAAGCTGCGTCACCAATTCCAGCGCATACTCGAAACGTGCCGCATGGCGCCGCCAACTGCCGCCAGCTGCTTGACCAGTGCAGAGCGAGCCCAACGCCATGGCGAACTACGTCAACTGAGGGGGCTGAAGCGTCGCCAACGCTTCGAACAGCCGCGTCAGCGCAAGCTGCTCAAACAGCAGCATCACGACCAGCTGGATGAGGATGATGGCCAGGGCGACGGTGATCCCAGCGAGGATATACGCGATGTTGACTTTCGGCTGCGCCACGATGCACGCCAATTGGCGCTATTGGAACGCTCGGCGCATGTGGAGCGTCATCGGGATGTTATGCTGCTAAAGTTGCTGCTCGTCAGCGGCTTCTATCCACAGCTGGCCATCGCGGATGAGTTCAACCACTGCAAGGGCGGCGGCCAGCAATTCTTTCACACTCAACTCAAGCCGTTTCTTTCGCTCCATCCCAATTCGCACTTCGCCAAGTGCTATGAGCTGCTCAAGCTCGCCGACAGCGATCTGCATTTGAAGCCATCTTACTACACGCCCAAGCAACCGCTCAGCGATCGCCATCAGCTGCTCTGCTATCAGTGAGTAGTCGCCAACTAGGCAAATATATTGACAACCAAAAAAGTAGTAGAAGAATACATCTCCGATATGGTCCGTTGTCGGACAATTTTATTCCTTATATTCACCTTTATTGCTTGCAGATCCCTACTGGAGACGGCCAAGCCGTATCTGATGAACTGCATCCGGTTGCCGGCAGCACAAACCCTGCTACTGTTTGGCTATGCCATCGATACCAACCTGGGCGTTTCGCGCATCGTCTGCGATGGCTGGCTAGGCCTCGATTTTCCACAGCCAGGCAGTGGGCTCCAGTTGCTTAGTCGCGCCATTGAGCTCCGACAACGCTGGAGCAGCCGACTCTATGCAAAACTAAATGGTGCGTAAGGATACCCAATTGGAATTACCCATTGCTTGTTACAATGAGTGCTTGCAATCAATAATCTATCATTTCCAACTCTTTTAAATATACCTGCAAACTGCTCTTCATCAACAGAGCTAAACAACAGCAAGGAGTCGGCAACAGCGGGTTCGGCTCCATCGATTGCTTTGAGTGATGGCAGCGACACACTCTGGCATGATCTGCTGGATTTTATGGGTCTCGAAGTGGCCTATAGCATAAGACGACTGCTGCCTGCCGATCTGAAGGTATTGTATACCCGTTGTCCGCCGCCGGAGCGCTTAGAGGCGCTGCCAACGAATCCGTTTGCCGCCGATTATCCGCTAAGTGCGAACAGCGAGAAGGGCGGTCTGAATGTCTCTGAGCACGTCGTCTACGGCTGCCTGGCCGAATTGCCCTGGACACTGGCCATGGAGGCAGCATTGCTGGATCAACCGTGGCACTGTGCCCAGTGTGACTTTCAGCTGGAGCAGTTCGTTGTGCCCGATCAGCTGGAGCATCGCCTCCAATGTCCAGGACGACGCAGCAAGGAAAAACGTCGTCTGACCACGCCCGAACCGGAAAGCATGGAAAAGGCGAGCACTTCACGTGATGGCGCCAACTATCACTGCGCCAGCTGTGGCCGGCATCTGAAACTGTCCCACATCGATATATTGCGCCATCGTCGCACCTGTGTAAAGTCTGCTTGATTTTTAGCTGTGCACATCTTCTCTGTGAATCGATACGAATAAATTATATTCAATAAAAAAAAAAACTCATTTCAGCGAATACACACAAATAATTAGCCAAGACTCGAACCAAACACTGGACATATGCAAGTGTTGTAGCTGGACACACTTTATCCCTCTCTCGCTCTATGTCTGTCTCATGTTGGAGTGGACAAACTTCAGAAGAATATTTAATTATATAAATTCAAATAGTTGTTCATATTCATTTTTCTATTTCATTTATTTTTCTTCCATAAATTTCGAATTCGTGTTCAGATTCAACACCTAATTAAAATAGGAAAAATGATGAACCCTGCCACAAAACAATTTATTACTGATATTTTATACATAATGCATAATACATAAAAAACAACACGTCAAAAGCTGGTTAAAACATTTATTCTCTAAAACCACAAAAAAAACGTACACACAAAAAACGAGCAATATTTTTTTCGAGTTGCCGCCCGATAATTATATTGAGTTGTTTTCCCGTGGCAATGATTAATTCCTTCCCTCTCTTTCTTCGTTTAGTGATTGTTTAGGAACCAATAACTTATTATAGATATATTCTATTAGAGTAGAGTTTCCGCCCGATAATTATATTATGTCGACTATATCGCTGATCTCAGTTCTCAAATAAATATGTTCTGCTGTGGGATGATTATTTCTCTTTCTGTCTCTTTAGTTGTCATTCATTGATTTGTTGGCTCTTCTTAAAACATATTCTTTTATAGACACATATAAATCATTTAAACAGACGTTTATTATTTCTATATATTATTCTTATTAAAATTTCTTATTCAAAATTTCAATTTTCTAATAATTATGTTTTCCTGTATGAATGATTACTTTTCTCTGTCGCTATCTCTATCTCCCTCTCTCTTTACATGTACATATATATATATATATATTTCTTTAGTTAATTAATATTATATTTAGTTGGCATTCTTAAAACAAAAAGTTGTCATTCATTATTTTGTTGCCTTTATAAATATTTTCTTATAATACATGTATACATATATATATATTTATATATATATTCTTGTATAGACACGCATAAATTACTAAAACACACATATATATAATTATACATTAGTTTTCTTTAAGAACCAATCACTTCACTTTCTTTTTCTCTCTTTTTGTGTCTCTTGACTTAAAACTTTAAAACTTTTGTTCTTCAAATATTTTCTAATTGTATTAAAACAAAGTGTATTAAAAAAAGCCTGCTCGAATTTAAAAAAAGTTTGAAATTACTTACGGTTAAAACTAGTTGATTATATTATTTGCTGCAAGAAAGATCACATCTTTGCTCGATCTTTTACAAATTGGACACATTCACGTTGATATAAGTAGATTAACAAAATATCAGAATACTTGAGATCAGATCATGATATCTCTTTATTTATAGTTAGTTTACATTTAAAACCTTGCTTTCAAAGGATGGACTTGATTAAGTAAATAGGCCTCAGGTCAAAATATATAAAGTAAAACGAAAATAATAAGAAATTTATAAATAAAAGTCTTGTTTTTCTTTAAGAAAGATCACGTTTGTTGTCTGTCCGTCTTTCTTTCCGTATCGTTGAATTTTTATTAGTTAGTTTTCATTTCTCGAAACTAACTTTACTTTTATAGTTTGGTTTTGCTTCACAGGTCCGACTACAAAACGAAAATGTGTTTCTATATTCACACTAGTATATATGTATATATGTATATATATATATACAATTAGTGCTCCATATAATACTAATGTCTAATATTACATGCTATAAGCTGCCTCATCTTTAGGAAAAAATCTTTAGCAACGTTGGTGAGCAGTGAAGGAAGCAAAACGTTGATTGATTCTTTTTGTCGTCTTTTTGTTCTTTAGTGCAAGATGTAATCCAAATCAAATCTGGCTCCAATGCGTGGCACACGCTGTGTTCTAGTTAGTTGTGGCTATGCGAGATAGAAATAGAGAGATGTTGATCAATAAATTATATTATTCAAATTGAAATTGATATCTTCAACTCACGGTTCTTTCAGTCATCCCCTCCGATTGGGCAGCGCTGGTGGCGCTGGCGGCGCTCGTGGTGGGCTCTGTATTTGTGGGCTAGAAAGCAATTGGCGTTTTTATATACTTGTGCAATTAATAATGGAAGCTAATGCAAAGCAATTACCGTTATTTTAAGAGTTCTCATTAGCTCAGTGCTGGCCTCATCGCCAGCGCTCTGAGCCGCTGCTGCCGCTGAGCCACTTGGCTGTGCGGTGTCCTCAAGAACAGCGTTGTCGCTGAAAAAAACATCCTGTTTGGGATTGTTCTAGGAAAAAGAGAAACAAAATATAATAATAATAATAATAAATAAGTGTTATTAGAGTCTAGTTGGTGCTAATTATAAAACATCGCCATGATCGCATTTCAGTTCACTCAACAAATTATAAAAATCAAATCGCTGTTCAAATTTTTTGACAATCAAATGAACTTCTTCAACTCAGAGATGACTTCAATTATGATAACTGCATCAACTCATTCCTTACATTGAATATGAAACAACTCTCAGCTTACATCGATCAATCAGCAGGAAGCTTTTATTTAATTTTAATATTTGTAATTCGTCATTCTCAGTTGTTGCCAAGAAACTATTCAATGCAAGAATCTGATGTGAGTGGCTCCATAAGACAGCGTTCGATTACTCGGGACTAACTTAATATTATTATAATTGGGATACCTGCACTGCGACCTACTCGATCTATTGTGCCCCCTGCCTCCATCAACCGCCAGCTGCTGCATGAATGCAAGAGTCTTTGTTGGATTGAGGGTTTCTATGTCTAGTTTGGTTAGGTGGCTTCTTAGTCTACAGTGTCCTGTCAGTATCGCAAGCCGATTCTTGCCCATTTTTAATATAAATGATTACTATATTAATTTACAACTTAATTAAATGAAGCTCACCTTTTGGACATCAGTGGGAAAACAGACACGCCTCGAGATCTTTGGACGATAAGCCTGTATGGGCACAAAGTCCTGAATGCTTGTAGTGTGTGTCCGAAGATGGGGCGGCATCTCGTTGTAACTCTCTAATGTGACCAGGCGACCGACGTTTCCCATGCTGCTGTTGCTATTGCTGGTGCTGCTGTTGTTGTTATTGTTATTGTTGTTGATACTGACGCTGCCGCTGCCGCTGCTGTTGTTGTTGCTGCGGACGTCAGCATTGTTGATCAATTTATTATAGGCAGCGGCATTTGGCTCAGTTGTGTTGCTCTGTTGACTGTTGCTGATGCTGGTGAAATATCCTAAAAACATCGGCGAATTGTCGGAGCCAATGAATCCAGATGACAATGGCTCGGTCTGGATTTGAAACATGCTCGAGGAAGCTGGCATCTCTGGCCGCATCTGTGGCTGCAACTGTGCCTGCATCGCTGAATGTATCGGTGGTTGCATCGGTGGTTGTATCCGTGGATGCATCTGTGGGTGCATCTGTGGGTGCATCTGTGCATGCGCCTGTGTATCCTCCCTATCCATGGGAAGCCTGGACATGTGCTGGTTGGCCATAAGGTCCGACTGCAGCTTAGCTTGCGCCTCGCGCTGCCAATACAGCGGCGGCTGCGGCAATTTCTTTGCAAATGAATAATGGAATTAAGAAATATTTTCTAGTTGTGATTAATCTGCTTAAATTTGCGATAATTATGACATGCAACCCAACCCAATGCAGGAGACTTGATGAACTCCTTTGATGCGGATCAGCCACATACATAAAAATACTTTAGATGCAATATAAAAATAAAAAACTTAAAACTCACCGGCATCTGACTAGGCAGCTGCGATGCAAGCGGCTGTGATGCAAGCAATGGCTGCTGTTGCTGTTGCTGCTGCTGCGGCTTCGGTTGTTGCTCTTGCTGTTGTGTTGCAAACATTGAGTCCCTTGACTTCGGTGCGACTTGCTCGACTGTGTTCAAGCCCAGCAGCGACCGAAGAGCCATTGTTTGATTATCGGATGTGTTGGTGTCGTTGGTGGCGACACCTTTCGATGAGCCGCTTTGATTGCTCGTCTTCTGAAACGACGATGACATAATTGGCAGTGGCTGCTGTTGTTGATACTGATGCTGCTGCTGTTGCTGCTGTTGTCGTGGCTGCTGTCGTTGCTTCTGCGGTTGTTTTTGTTTTTGTTGTTGTTGTTGTTGTTGTTGTTGTTGTTGTTGTTGTTGTTGCTGCTGCTGCCGGCGTTGTTGTTGCCGTTGCCGTGGCAGCTGTTGTTGTTGTTGCTGCTGCTGTTGTTGCAATGAGGGCACCGTTGACAGCAGACGCCACGACGACTGCGGCGCCGCCTTCGAGGCATACTTGGCCTCCGCAGAGGCTGCAGCAGCAGCCGCAGCCGACGTGGACGCAATTGGATGGTCGTCGGATGGGGCAGCGGCCGCCGCTGTGGCTGTTGCATTAGCAGCCGGTACGCCGGGCACAAAGAATTCCTCGGCAACCTCGGTTTTCATTGTGATGGGATTGTTCTTGCTGCCAGCGGCAGTCATGTAGCGCGGCTTATTCTGCTGCTGATCACGCCAATCCTGACGCACTGCATCCATTTTGCCCCGCACCTGATGCGACGACTGCTGCCGATGCTGATTTTGATGTCGCTGCTGCTGTTGTTGTTGTTGTAGATGTGCGGCAGCTTGCCCCTTTATCTCCATGCTCTCTGTAAAAGAACGATTTCGATTTAGTTTTTAGTAATTTTAGGGCTTAACAGATTAAGCATTTACCATTGATATTGATGACAATGATGGCGGTCTCTGGTATCTTGTAGACGTGACCTTCGGCAATGCCATGTATGCCCTGGCTACAGTTGGGTATCACCTTGTCGAACAGTATGTCGCAGAAGGTATCGACGGTATTGAGGCACTCGAATCGCACCGGATTGAGATCACTGACCGGATAGACACCGATCACAGTGCCCGTCGCCCCAATGGGCACCATATAAATGGTGCGCACAACTGCGACACGATCGAAGAGACGCACCTCGTGCGGCGAACGGTAGCGTTCGGGCAGCGTCACATTCGGCTTGACGAGCAGATGGGGCTTCACCTGCAGCTTGATGTCCCTGATGGGCTTGTGGCGCATATCATCGACGGCGGCGATTAGCAGCTCAATGGTATCCTTGCAGACGGTCCGGGAACCACACGCGATGCGATCAACTTGCATATGCGGTTGCTGGCGCACCCAATTGGCCACATCCTCGATGCGATGCTGGCCAACGGCATCCGGATAGATGTCTTCCTCGTAACCGAACTCGGCCCAATCGTTGCTTCTGGTCAAATAATCGATAACCTCCGGATATAGATCGCAATAGGTGCGCATTATATCGACAGCGGCGCTCGAAAAGTTCCACTGATTGTTCATCTGGCGACAGAAGCCGGCTCGCTCCTCATTCAGCCGCGGATACTTCAGCTGCAGTCCAATATTGTGCCGTGATGCATTCTCCACTCGTTCGCGTCGCGGCCCGAGCACCACCCAAACGGTGCCGGTCAGCCGACTGAGACACTTGCTGCTGATATTCAAATCGCGGCACACCTTGAAGTGGAATGTGTAGTCCCTGTCACAACGCGCCTGCTGCGCAATGGCCGCCGACATATCTGGCTCTGGACACACACGTAAATCAACTGTGGACAAGGACATTATGTAAATAGTTATTGGTCAGTAGTAGTTGCAGGCACTTTTCTAAATACAAAAATGTTTCCAATTTATTAATCTAAACTGAGCCTCTTCGTAACTAAAACTCTTCTCTCTCTCTCTCTATCTATTTTGGCAAGATACTCAAAACTCAAGGCGCATCTGATCACAGAAACTTACCCTGAATGCGTCCACAGGCGTACACAAGATCTGGATCGAGTACGGTGCCCTCGCTGCCGGCATAGGGATTACCAATAAGGAAGATGGTGCTGCCGATTGGGAATAACTCGGCCATTTTTTTAAACTGCTTGCGCATCCTGTCCTTGACCTGAATGTTGGCAACGATGCCCTGCGCCGGATATGGTGTTACCGATGAGCTCCACGTTTCTTTCGTATAGATTTCGCCACGATTGCCAAAGTCGACAGAGCTGCCGACATAGGTGCGTACCTTGAGGAGCACATCGTAATTGCTAAACTTGATGCCCATGCGATTAGAGAAGCTGCAATGTGAATAGATGATGAATAAGTATACGTATATATGTATGGACGCGAGGGAGACTCAACTGGTCATGTAGCGATTTGAATTCGGAATCAAAGTGTTGCGCATCGTTGGAACTGACGCCGTTCTTGTCGACAATCTGTTCGCGTGTGCAAACGCTGTCCACCTTGGCCTTGATCAGATGCGGCCATCCAATGTAGACCACCTGATCCAGATATTGAGCAGCCACAGTCTGGATAATAGGCTCCTCAAACACTCGCTTCTTCGGCACCAGAATCAAGGTCTGATTACGGCTCCGCTGATCAAAGACCTTGACGTGACCGACGCGCATCTCGAACTGCAGCAAATACATAAATTCAATTAAATGGAAATTGGCATTTGAAGCTTTGCGCTTACATCGAACTCTAGATGCTTCATTGTGGGAAATCCTGGAAAGAAGACATGACGTGCCGCATTCGGCAGCTCCGCGCAAGCAGTGTACGGTATATGGAGGGCAATATCTTCGATCCTGCGGCTGGTCTCCGTGCAGAAGACATTCTGCAGATTTTTCAACGGTGGCACACCAGTCATGGCGCCCTGCGATTTCGAGCTGTAGTCGTATTGATACATCGGTCCATGCCTGTTGCGTAAACGCTCCTCGGTGGTCAGCTGCGAATCGCATTCGGACATGGCGTCCAGCAGGCGACGCTGATCGATGAACGGTATCAGGACAACTGCCTCCCATTCATGCATCTTGCCATTGAGATCAGTTTCAAACTCCTTCGGATAGAAATCGGCCAGGGTACTGCTCGGATTCAGCATCAGATCGTGATAGGCCACCGGCAACAGGGCCGAACTGGCCGGTGGCAGCACAGCCAACAGCTGCAAGCAAATAATTCAATAATCTGCGTATTGGATTTGCATTGGATTATGATTATTTACCTGTTCGAAGGGCATAAATGGTTTGCCCATTTGAAAGTTGATTTTAACAGACGGAATATCGGTTATATCACTGATAAAGGGGGCATAATGATATGGATAATACCAATCCCACGACTGCACGCCACGATAATAATAATCGAGTACCCATTGCAGGGCCGTCACATAATGATGTCCCAGCTCCGCAATCAGACCGTCGTGCATCTCGTTCTTGAACTTGTTCCGATAATAGTTGCGCTTGAAATTCTGGAATTCGCCATTTAACGCTGCCCCCTCATCGCTCAGATCCTCGTCGCTGTCGTCCTCATACAGCTGTATAAAGATAACGAAAAATGTCAAATACAACAATTTATTCAACTTTGAAAATGCATTTCATGTTCCCTGATTGGGGGCCAAAAATCAATGGAAATCTAAAAAAAAAAAAAAAAACAAGCGCGAAAACTAACAGTTAATTTAGCTCTTTTCTCGAACATTTCGAAATGATTTCAAAAATATTTGAATCAATTTAGATGATAAACTAACTAAAATCCAACAAAAAAAAAATTAAAGCTTCAAAATGTAACTCTACCAATAGAAGAATAAAAGAAAAACAAGGGAGAATGATGTAGTCGACTTCGACATACCCTTTAAAAAGTGAGCAAGTCTGCAAGTGCGCCTTTTCCTAAGTGGCAGGCGCAGGGACTGCAGAGTAAAGAAAAAAAATCGAACCATCGCATATTTTATTCACAAACCCGAACCGACCCGAACTGGCTGGCGACAAACACGTGCATAGACACACACACACACACACACATACATACATACATGCTCTGCAGAATACACACGTACATACATGCTCTGCAGAATACACACGTACATACATACTCTGTAGAATACACATATCCATACATACAAACGTACAGACAATCGTAGTTAACGGTGCTCTGTAGAATACATACATACATACATATTGACGCTCGCTTCGATGCTTGCATGCCATCTCTTTCTCATACATACGCTCGCATATTGATGCATACTGTAAATGCTTGCGGCTGCTGAGAGATGAGATATAAGATCAATATGGGAATATACTTTGGACCATAACTTGGAAGTTTGTTATCCGATCTTGATGCAATTTGAGCAGTTGATCAATAATATGCATATGCATATTATAGATTAATTAGAAGCCACTGACTTTATGGCATCATTTCTTAAACTTTCATGGAATGGATCAGAACCAAATTTCACTATACGTAATAAGTAATAATATATAACATATGAAAATATATATTATATGAATTATTACCTTCATGCTGTTATCGATGAGTGCTGTGAGATCTTTGTCCCGATTGCGCAAATCCTCCACATCCACATCGAATGCCTCATTTTTGGAATTGGCATAATGGAGCTTGTCGCTCTGCTCGTCGAAAATCTGCATTTCGACTTCGCTGAGGGCGTTCATGAAGATCGCCAAACGCTGCAGATTCAATCTGCCCTGCTCGTTGATGTTGCCGCCCAGCTGGGGATAGACACGGATGTACGTCTTGTAGAGCAGCGACAACGCATTGGTGTGGATGTGCAGCAGGGGCAGGCTCGGTATGAAATCGTTGCCGACAAGGAAACCCATTAGCACCCAATCGTCAATCAGTTGGGCCACATCCAGTTTACGTTCCGATTTCGACAGCTCAGCGAACTCCAATTCGAGATATTCGCGCAACAGGCCCAGATGCAACAGAAAGAAGCGCGTCTCCTCGACGGCGGTTCGCTTCACATTCTTGCCAAACTTCACCTCCTCGCGCAGCACAACAAAGTGCAGCTCGTGGGTGCACAGGCCGAGGATGATTAGATCGGCATCGAGCCCATAGAGGCAATGGCGCATATTGGGATCAAAGTCGGGTTGTGCCTTCAGATAGCGGATGTAGTCCATGATCTTGTGCTCGCCCTCGCCGGGTGTCTCCACGCCGCTTAAAATGACGCAGCACTTCTGCCACAGCGTATCCGTTGAGACTTTGGTGCGCAGAAAGCAGCGCAAACCCTTCTGCAATCGACTCATGAACCCGGTGCCGGGCGTAATGCAATTGCTGTCAAATCTCTCGTGCATCCGCTTCTCGCCACGCTGCAGCGCTTTCGCATCAATCTGTTCGGCCTCGCGGGCCGTTCTGAAGCGGCGACTCCGCTGCTGATTCATTTTGGCACGTGGCGCAACGCCATCAACGGACACAAAGAACAGCTTCTGCGGCTTGATCAGATAGAACAGAGTATCGATGTAGTTGTAAATGTCCTGAAAGATTTGTGTCTCCTCCAAATGAAAGTGTATGTTGCCGTCATCCGGATGCGAACAGTTGTGCACAATCCCATTCACGTCCAGAAACAGATTATCGAACTCGGGTATCTATCGACAAAACCAGAAATATATATATATATAAATATATATACGTATATATGTATATCAAGAAGGTATTCGAACACAAGCAAAAATTCATATTTTCTCATTTATTTTGCAAAAAAAAAAAGGTATTTTATTGACTTCTTATTCTTATTATTCTGTTCAAATATGTCCGAGCAAGATCATTATTTTATTAATATTTTTTTGTAATGCATGATTCTTGTTACGATTTTGTTAAATAGTTTAAAGAAGTTCAGTTATTAGTAGAAAATAAGAAGACAAAGTAAATGTCAATAATAAAATAAGTTTTTTTTGCCAATGAAATGAGAATGCATTTTTTCCTGTGTGTGTGTGTGTATGTGTGATTGTGGAATTTAAAGGAGCCTTAATCCACGCCCACCACACACTGCCCACAGGAATAGACACCCTGTACTTACGCTGTGCTCACGCGCCAATTCGCTAAGACACGGATAGCGTTCGCTGATATGACGGAAAAACTTTGGTACTCCCATGTTGCGTTGAGGTCCTGGAGAAAACTTGCTTGTTGGTTATGCTTGGTTATTTGCAGGGTTGTCCTTGCTTCACGTCTATTTCCCTGCAACAACGATAACCGACAGTCGATAAACAAAACGCACTGTTGCCACCGAAGCTCTTTTCGCACAAATAATTTCGACTTGTTTGTATGCAGCGTGACTGCACTCCGTGTGTGCATAAATGCTCATATTTTGCCAACCTGCCTGCCAAAAAAAGAAGAAAAATACCAATAAAAAATACTAACTGAGCTACAGATCAAAATGTCAGCTGTTTGCTCTGATACTCGTAGCACTCAGCTAATTTCGACTTGTTTGCTTGCAGTGTGACCGCATTCGGTGTGTGCATAAATGCCAATTTACCAGCCTACCTACAAAAAAAAACCAAATATACGAACAAAAAAAACTAACCTAGCTGCACATCAAAATGTCAGCTGTTTGTTCTGCCACTCGTAGCATTCAGCTAACTGTCAGCGGAGCATAAGCAGCTGTTCACAAAATAAAAAAACACTACGAACGCTTCAAAAAATTTTACGTAATTTTTGATTGTGATTTGCTGTTTACTGGCCGCGATTGTTTATAAACGAGCGAAAATGTCGCTAATACGCCAAGTAATGTGCCGCGCTGCCCCCACCATGCAGTTGTAAGTACACACACACATTTCAATTGCCCGCACACAGGACTTCTAGCTAAACTTGCCATTCATTCCGCATTCAAGCACTGCACGCTGGGCATCTACCCAGGATGTTGGGCCAATTGATCCGAACACGGCGCTGGCCCGTCCCGAGGAGCTCGAGCAGCGCAACAAGCTGAGCGGCAAGATAACGGTGCCCGTTACCGTCGATCTGGCCCCCATTACGGGTGTGCCCGTGGAGCACCTGAAGGAGCGACGCGTCCGCATCCACATACCACCAAAGAATGCGATGCAGAGCGGCACCAACAACATCCACAACTGGCAAATCGAATTCGATAATCGCGATCGCTGGGAGAATCCACTCATGGGCTGGGCCTCCAGGTGAGTACTCCAGCTGCCAATAGAGGGGCCAATTCAACAGTTGGACATGAGATAGGAACAATATTATTATTATTATTATAATTGGTGTACACTGGCTGCACTGCAACCTATTAGATCAAGTATGCCCCCTTTAGAGCCTATAGCTCCTCCATTAACCCCAGCTGCTGCATAAATGTGAGAATCTTTGTTGGAGCTCATAACTATATCTAGGGATGCAAGATTGCTATTAAGGCGGCATGCTCTGCTAAGATGTGCCTTTCACAAAAGCCTGCATACTTTGCTACTATAAATATCTAGTTTAGTTAAATGAGTTCTTAGTCTAGAATGTCCTGTCAGTAGACCGGTGAGCATGCTAAGCCTATTCTTCCCCATGGTGATTAATTGCTTAAATCGTTTAGTCCTGGTGTCTCTGCCCCGCTACGTTGTCGCCTCAATTGTTGTTCAAATAGAATAAGCGACTCTCTCTGATTGCAGCGGTGATCCTCTGTCGAATCTGAATGTGCAATTTGGGTCCAAGGACGAGGCGATTACCTACTGCGAGAGGAACGGTTGGAAATGGTACGTCGACGGCGAGCTGAAGACCAGGAAGGAGCGCGTCAAAAACTATGGCGTCAACTTCTCGTGGAACAAACGCACGCGCGTCTCCACCAAGTAAACAGAATGCAACTGCAACTGCAACTGCAACAACTACATTAACCAAGTTGCTGGCAGCAGCAAAATAGCAAAAAATTACGTGTTATAAATACTTTAATTTCTACTTTTTTTTCGCTACAATTAAAACTTATAATATGTGAATTTATCCAACGTTTCTTCTTCTTACGTACAGTCGAGCGTGCCTACAGTGAACTCATTCGTAGCCATTTCTTTGCTCATTATTTATTGACACTCTACTTTAGTGGGTAAAAACGGGTCGCTTTAAGAGATTATTACTATAAAATGTTTCTCTTGTATTAATGGCGATGGAATCGCCTGTTGTTATTGCTATGGAGCGGAGATCGGGAGCGGGATCGGGAACGTGCCCGTTTTGAGTGTTGTCGTTGGCTTCTAAGCCGGCTGCCACTGCGACTGTGCCTGCGCTCCTTGTATCTCCTCCTACTGCTGCTGTGCCTGCTGCAATGATCTCTGTGTGGGGAATCTCTTCTACGCTCGCGACTTCGAGTTGGAGTGCGTCGCCAGTGGTCCAACTCGGACTTGCCAGACTGGTGCCTTTTCCGTTCTCTAGCTGCGACTGGGAGCAGTTGCTGCCGCTGCTGCGCCTGCAGCGCCTGCATTTGTAGCTCCACAAGCTGATGCATCTCCTCGTGGAGAGTCGGTTTACTTTTGCGATGACGTCGCTGTTTCTTGTGCGCTTTTTTGGTGTCGGCAACGAGTTGCGCAAAATTTGCCATCTCCTCGAAGCTCTGGCGCTGACGTAGCGTCCGCTGGACCACATGCTCATAGATAAGCAGTTTCTGTGGCTCAGTGAAATTCACCTGCAGATCCTCAAATGTCCCGTTGACTAACTGCGTCGGCCTCGCAGCTGGTCCGAGCAGTTGCTGCAACAATTCAAGATTGAGCTGCACACTATGCTGTGGGTCTTCCAAGCAACTGCTTGGCAGTTGCTCCACATCCACATCCGCACCAACTTGGACTTCATGTCCGACAACCGCTGGCTGCAAGAGGAAATTGACGAAATGAGGAAGCCTTTCGCATAATGCACACTTGCCTGGCGCACGCCCTGCTCCGTCCAATGCAGGCGCTGCAGCAGCTGTTGCAGCCGCTCCCTGCAACTGGCCACATAGAGACGCAGTGCTTGCTGCGTGGCCGACATTATTACAAATTGCAGTTGCAATTGCAAATCTGTGTAATAAATTTTTGTTTTGCCGGCATTTAAATTTTTCAGTTTTATTTTCTTTCTTATCAACGGTCACACTGGCTGACCAGCAAAGGGAAAAGCGCAGCGCAATGGGAATAAAATGCAAAAATCATTTTGAGTTTTGTAGAAAACACAATTATCGTTTAGCTCTTCGACTTAAAACTACTTAATGTTATGTTATGCAATTCCGTAATTATTCAAAATTTTAGCTCCAGAACAGCACTGTGCAAGCCATTATCAAGCAGGCGGCGCCAACCCAAGGCGATTTTCGTTCGCCAATGCGCGCCATCTTCCAAAAGGTGCCCAACAAACTGTAAATGTGTAATTGATATGTGACATATATTTGCTATATAGTAGATGTAACTGCCTATTACCCAGTTTTGTTGCGATCAATGATGCTGGGGAAAAGGGAACGCAAATAGGCGCAGGTGCATATCAGCAACAGAATGACGGACAAAAGACTTTGAAAGTTGAAGAGCGCACTCTGGAACAATAACAAATTTCGAATGTTAATTAATTGTGTAATTATCTTTCTGTTTTCACTACTGATAATTGAGATTCTTACCATTTTATTGTGTTTCTTGCGTGTTGGCAGAAAATACAACTATCTGCAGGAATAACAACAAATTCAACAATGACGTGCCGTGTTGAGTGTGGCCGAGCTTTAATGTGCGACAACACAGCTAATGCGTGACACAGCACTCAGCTTTAACTTCTTGCCACGCAAAACTCAATGGAATATCGATATGAAATTAATCGCATATGAGGTGTGCTCTATCGATACTTTTAGTCATTCCATCATCACCGTATCTAATACTCTGCGGAATTTCTTTTGCTCTATTACTACTTTTTGTAGTAATTGTAATTTGATCGTTGAATAGGAAACTTTATTCAATTGAAACAGCAGGCACTTCAGTTTAACTCCAGTTAACGGCTCGGTTCAATTTCGGTTTCCGCCAATTGCAAGTGTCCGCCAATTGCATCCAATAAGAAAGAAAAACTTTTTACTTTCCCAACTGCCTGTGTGTGCGTGTGTGTTTCTGTGTGTATATATATATATATATATATATTGGTGTGCGCTGCACAGAGCGCAGCGCAGCGTTCTGTTGAACTTTAAATACAAACACATACATAGTCGAGAGAAACAAAATTGTGTGGTTTGCGCAAGTGTTACACATAGATAAATAGATGAACAAAAAAATAACGAAGTTCAACTGCTGTGGAACGAATGTTACTCATTGTGCATTGTGCCTCGGATTGCAATTCCCAGTGGCAGTTGCAAGTTTCGCTTGCAACCTTATTATTTTCATGCGTTCGCCCGTTTTTCGTATGCCAAAAATCGCTAAAATCTCACATACATACATACATTTTGTTTTCTTCTAAATGTGTGTGTACACGTGTGTGTGCGTGAGTGTGTATCAGTGAGAATTCTAACCGCCGAAGCCCTTGTTTGTTTGTGTTATGTGCCGTGTGTGTGTGTGTAGTGAGCACAAGCTTTAGGAGTCTGCGAGCGAGCGACCGACAATAACAACAACGAAACACAACTACAACTACAAACATACAGTCGCAGCTCACTCAGACATTTGGCATGTTGGGCCTCTTGCGGATTTGGGTTGCACTTGCTGTATAGTGGCGGTAAGTGCGCAAAAATATTCTACTCATACGCAATACTACGACTATAAACGAAAGGGAACAGTTATAAGTTTTGATTTAAGTATGGTCACACTTAAGCATTTCCAAGCAATTCAAAAATATATGTAAAGAGGGCGCCTTCGGCCCACAAAACATCTTAAAATTGTCATCGCCACTGGCCCTGTGTGCATTGTCTGTTGTTTCTAACGGCACAATGACTGTCATATTTTTTTGGTATTTAAAAAAAAAAAAAGCTGCGCAACACTTGGCGGCACTTGCTGTTACTGGTGCTTCTTCTTCTGCTACGGCTGCTTCGTAGTTTTCGTCGTCCCAGTCTCTTCATCGTCGTCGTCGTGTTGAGTCGATATCTTGTCGGCAGCAGAGGCACTCATTGAAAAGTGTTGGCCAAGCAACATTAGCAGTAGCAGTGGCAAAGTGGCGTTAAATGCTATTAGTAATATTCAAAGAACAATCGAATATACATTAAATAGGAGCCACACAGACTAACATATATTTTAAAAGTGCGCAACAGAATAAAATTTTGGTATAAAAAAAAAAACGAAAGGCAAAATTTTTTTTGTCTCCTGCCGCGTATGTGTGTGACAGAGCGAGAGAGGCAGTTTTTGACAGTCGGACAAGAGCAACAGCTTCTCTTAAAACAGCATTCGGCTGTGCACAAAACGAAATAAATACAACAAGGTAAGAGTTGCATTTTAAATTCGTTTATTTTATTGTTTGTTATAACAGAAACACACACACACACTATATAAATTTTCCATGCATGTATTTTTGTGCACTACACACACACATACACACACACACAATGGGTGCAAAACTCGATTTTTGTCTCTCTATTTTGGTTTTTAGTGTTGCTTTTTTAGCATTCATTATCGTTGCTCTTTTGTGCGTTTTTGCTTGGGTATCAGTTGCCTGTTTTGCCTGCCTTCCTCCAGCATTTGCTTTTAGTACGTATATTCGCCTCGGCTCATAAATAACACATATTTCATTATATTTTTATAACATCGTTTTGTTATTTCACTCAAATTTATTTTGCACAAATTTTTGACATTTCCTTTCGTGCTGTCCGCTGTTCCGGCCGTCGTCTTTGTAATCTCTTTCTCTGTCGCTCTCTCATGTCCGTTGGAGTCCACACAGCTGCATAACGTTTACATTAAGAGCTTTTCCAGAGTTGCATTTAACGAGTATACTTTTGCGTTCGGGCGACATGTTAAATTTAACATGGCAGAGAGCTGTTGTATTTTGAAGAGTTTAGCGCGCTGCTTAAACCAGTTCTGTTTATAATTATTTTGTCAACCGCAAATATATGCCAAACGTAATAGAAATTTATAAACCGGTAGCAGGAGGTAATAGCTAGATTCTGGTTTTATTAAAATCGAAAATTTCATATGAAAATTAACATTAACATACAAAGTTTTTGGCATGCTGCGATTTGAGCGAAAAATGCGAAAACGTGCGCGCGCATGTTACAGCAAGTTCTGCTTCCGGCTGCATAATTTTCAAGGCCAACGCAGAAAATATTTGTCGAAGAGGTCAGGTGGGTTAGGTGCTGGTAGGAAAACATAGATTCCAGGTTTACCTATTGTATTTTTTTTTTTGACTTGCACACCATTTCATTTGTATATATTTGTTATTTAATAAGTTTTCATTATCGATTTGCGTAATATGGCAAACAAATAGAGTCAAATATTGAATAATACGCGGAACAGTAGTTCAACAACTGCAAAAATGTCTTGAATTTCATTTCACAATTGCATTCAACAGTTCGCTCTCTCACTCTCCGAGCAACGAATACATACTATACTCTACTGCAAGTAAAGTATATACGTACATAAATATATACATACACACTACGTGAGCGAGAAATTGCTGTTGTAATTGGCGCGCTGTCTTGAAATTTGCTAATTAAATTAAGAAATACAAATATTTATTTAATTTTTTAGTATATATATATATATTTATTTGTAAATTGCACTTGCAGTTTTGGTTATTGTTTTTTGTCATGGGACCACGTTGTGAAAATTGTCGCTCTCTTATAACGGTAACAAAGCAGCGCTGCTATTACTGTTCATAATCCACGCATTAACGATGCTTTAACATCGCAGTCAGCGACTCAGTGCTGCCTCGACAATCCTTTCTTCCGATAAATCTAGCTTGTTTTTTTCTTTCAGTTAGCTAGGTTTTATTGATTTACTAAAAACAGTGATCGTTGTTTGAAATGCATTAAATCACCAAGATGCTCGTCATTATGAAAAAAAAAGATGAGAAATATCGCATGGTATGTTTCATATTAAATGTAGCTCATTCCCATGAACAAGTTAGCATTTTATAGCTAACCCGTGGGTCGCTGTCACTGTCGCATTGTTGCTGCTGACAGCGACGTCGCTGATGGCGTTTTGTCGCTCGCTGTTTTTTGGTTTTGCTCATTCGTATTTTGACAAGCGACGTGTGTGGAACGCAATGCGCGGCTTTTGTCTGATCAAATTTCGTTTACCTTTTGTGTGTACGCGGCGAGTCCAATCAGACTGAATCACACACACACGAACAAGTACCGTTGCCTACAAATGTGTGGCGTATGTCCGTTTATTTTTTTCTTTTTGTGTGTGTAAAATAAATTTTTGTATTGAGTTGCTTGCAAATTAATAACGACTGAAAAAAGGAACTCGGAAGCAGCAGCATTAAAGGTCAAAACCACCTCTGCCGCGGCAATCGCGTGCTGCATTCTCTGTCAACAGCAGCAGATGTGGCTCAGTGCTGTGATACAACAACAAAAATGTCCTCGTGTTTTGGCAACACTGCCAGGCAAGCAGCGATGCCGGCTTCCACATTGCTACGTATGTATTATTAAGCACCCTGAACTTAACACACTAAACGCACATCCACACACAGAGACACACACACACAACAACATGAACTTGCACTTGCACTTCAGTATTTTATTGTTGTCAAAAATGATGATGAGAGCAGTAGCATTAGCAGCAGCAGAACATATTCTATTTACGCTCTGCTTCAATTTTGGCAGACATGTGCATGTCGCGATAAGAGAAGCAATACACACATTTTGTCGTAATGGTCACACTTAGGCATGTCCAAGCAATTCAAAAATATATATAAAGGCGCCGCCGGCCCACAAAATGTGCATGTGCATGTTAATTGTCATTGCCACTGGCCCTGTGTACATTGTCTGTTGTTTCTAACGGCACAATGACTGTCATATTTATTAATTTTTTTGGTATTTAAAAAAAAAAGCTGCACAACACTTGGCGGGACTTGCTGTTACTGGTGCTTCTTCTTCTGCTACAGCTGCTTCGTAGTTTTCATCGTCCCAGTCTCTTCATCGTCGTCGTCGTGTTGAGTCGATATCTTGTCAGCAGCAGAGGCACTCATTGAAAAGTGTTGGCCAAGCAACATTAGCAGTAGCAGTGGCAAAGTGGCGTTAAATGCTATTAGTAATATTCAAAGAACAACGAAAGACAAACATATATTTTAAAAGTGTACATCAAAATAAAATTTTGGTATAAAAATAAAAAAACGATAGAAAGGCAAAAAAATTTTTGTCTCCTGCCGCGTGTGTGAGTGACAGAGCGAGAGAGACAGTTTTTGACAGTCGGACAAGAAGAGCAACAGCTTCTCTTAAAACAGCGTTTGGCTGTGCACAAAACGAAATAAAGACAACAAGGTAAGAGTTGCATTTTAAATTCGTTTATTTTACTGTTTTTTATAACAGAAACACACACACACATCATATAAATTTTCCATGCATGTATTTTTTGTGCACTACACACACACACACACACACAATGGGTGCAAAACTCGATTTTTGTCACTCTATTTTGGTTTTTAGTGTTGCTTTTTTAGCATTCATTATCGTTGCTCTGTTGTGCGTTTTTGCTTGGGTATCAGTTGCCTGTTTTGCCTGCCTTCCTCCAGCATTTGCTTTTAGTACGTATATTCGCCTCGGCTCATAAATAACACATATTTCATTATATTTTTATAACATCGTTTTGTTATTTCACTCAAATTTATTTTGCACAAATTTTTTACATTTCCTTTTGTGCTGTCCGCTGTTCCGGCCGTCGTCTTTGTAATCTCTTTCTCTGTCGCTCTCTCATGTCCGTTGGAGTCCACACAGCTGCATAACGTTTACATTAAGAGCTTTTCCAGAGTTGCATTTAACGAGTATACTTTTGCGTTCGGGCGACATGTTAAATTTAACATGGCAGAGAGCTGTTGTATTTTGAAGAGTTTAGCGCGCTGCTTAAACCAGTTCTGTTTATAATTATTTTGTCAACCGCAAATATATGCCAAACGTAATAGAAATTTATAAACCGGTAGCAGGAGGTAATAGCTAGATTCTGGTTTCATTAAAAACGAAAATTTAATTTCACTTGTACTTCACAAAAAAAATTCCCATGCATGCAATGTTATTAATATAAATTTCAGCAAACGATTTCTTGTAACTTTCAAGTAGGTGGAAAATTTTTAGTCAATTCACAACGCCGCTCAAACATACTTTGAACCGCGTCGCACAGCAAATGTATCAAGTTGGATGGAGTCAAATAAAATTGCTAAACTTATTATATTGATCGCAATCAAACAAATTACAAATTCCTTATCAATCCAGCAGCAGCAATTACACATACAACATTTGTAATTCCACACTTACAAATATTTGCTTATCGGTTCTGATTGCTTATTGCCTGCAGTGACGTCAAATGCATTATTTGAACGAGAAATCAGATGAACAAACAAGTCAACTGCTGCGCAGCAGCAATCATGTATTGAAGATTAACATTTACATTAACATTAACCATACCATTAACATACATTTTTGGGCTCCATATTTTTTGACATATTGTGATTTGAAATTTGAGCGAAAAATGCGAAGCGTGCTGCAGCAATTTTTCATTCCAGCTGCACAATTTTCAAGGCCAACGTAGGAATATTTCCGAAGAGGTCATGTGGGTTGGGTTGCTGGTAGGAGAACATAAATGCCAGGTTTACCTATTGTATTTATTTATTTATTTTTTGGCTATTGCGCACAATTTAATTTGTATATATTTGTTCTTTAATAAGTTTTCATTATCGATTTGCGTAATTATGGCAAACAAATAAACCCAATCATTGAATAATATGTTGCACAGTGGGTCAATAACTGCAAAAATGTCTTCAATTTCATTTCATTTCACAATTGCATTCAACAGTTCGCTCTCTCTCACTCTCTCGCCAACAAATACATACTGTACTCTACTGCAAGTAAAGTATATACGTACATAAATATATACATACACACTACGTGAGCGAGAAATTGCTGTTGTAATTGGCGCGCTGTCTTGAAATTTGCAAATTAAATTAAGAAATACAAATATTTAATTTTTTAGTATCTATATATATATTTGTAAATTGCACTTGCAATTTTGGTTATTGTTTTTTGTCATGGGACCACGTTGTGAAAATTGTTATCGCTCTCTTATAACGGTAACGAGGCAGCGCTGCTATTACTGTTCATAATCCACGCATTAACGATGCTTTAACATCGCAGTCAGCGACTCAGTGCTGCCTCGACAACCCTTTCTTCCGCCAAATCTAGCTTGAATTTTTCTTTCAGTTAGCTAGATTTTGTTGATATATTAAAAACAGTGGTCGTTATTGGAAATGCATTAATTCACTATAATATAAAAAAAGAAAAGAATTTGCTTAAGACTCTCGTCATTATGAAGGAAAAAAAGATGAGAAATATCGCATTGTTATGTTTCATATTAAATGTAGCTCATTCCCATGAACATTTTAGCATTTTATAGCTAACCCGTGGGTCGCTGTCACTGTCGCATTGTTGCTGCTGACAGCGACGTCGCTGATGGCGTTTCGTCGCTCGCGTGCCGTTTTCGCTGTTTTTTGCTTTTGCTCATTCTTATTTTGACAAGCGGCGTGTGTGGAACGCAATGCGCACTGCTTTCGTCTGCTTTCAAATTTCGTTATTAATTTCGTTTACCTTTTGTGCGTACGCGACGAGTCCAATCAGACTGAATCACACACACACAAACAACTACCGTTGCCTACAAATGTGTGGCGTATGCCTGTCTATTTTTTTTTAAATCTTTGTGTGCGAGTGTGTTGAGCTGTTGAGTTGCTTGCAAAATAATAACGACTGAAAAAAGGAACTCGGAAGCAGCAGCATTAAAGGTCAAAACCACCTCTGCCGCGGCAATTGCGTGCTGCATTCTCTGTCAACAGCAGCAGATATGGCTCAGTGCTGTGATACAACAACAAAAATGTCCTCGTGTTTTGGCAACACTGCCAGGCAAGCAGCGATGCCGGCGTCCACATTGCTACGTATGTATTATTAAGCACCCTGAACTTAACACACTAAACGCACATCCACTCACAGAGACACACACACACATCAACATGAACTTGCACTTGCACTTCAGTATTTTATTGTTGTCAAAAATGATGATGAGAGCAGTAGCATCAGCAGCAGAACATATTCCATTTACGTTCTTCTTAAATTCTGGCAGAAATCTGCATGTCGCGATAAGAAAAGAATGACATGTCTTAATCGCGTGTTTTTCTTACTTTCGTTAAGTTGTAGAACATTAATTTGATATTTATTTTTAAACACAATTAATTTGTCTGTTGCTTATTGATTTACACGCAACAAACTTTTCCTTTACACACTGCAAAAATGAGTGTGTGTGTGTGTGTGTCAGTGTATGTGTTTTTCAAGATGGTATTGGTCACACTGACGCTGGCTACTGTAGTCGCTGCGCTCTCTTTTCTTATTTTATGCAGTGATTGTGTTGTTCTTGTTACAGTTACGCCTCTAACGCGATTTGTTTACGCTTCGTCATAAGCATTTGCAGCAGCATCATCATGAACGAACATTATTATTGTCGTCATTCGTAATTTTTAATCATCAAAACAAAAACATATAGGGACAGCTTTTTTGTTCTTGTTGAATATATTAGAATATTTTTGCTTGCCTCTTCTACTGAATTTCCGCATTCAGAGATGCTTTTGTTTTTTTTTTTTGCGTTGTTTTTGTTAGTTTTTAACAATTTGATGAGATTTTTGACGAGAAACGTTCTACAATATACATGTATGTATGCATTATATACTTTCTATAATTTGTTGAGTGTGAAATTCTATCTGAACAAACACTGATAAAAATAACACTCGAATATTTTTGGCCTTGAGGCTTTCATTCATTTTATTTTTGTTGGCTTGTATTTCTTTCTTGTTTTTTTTTATTAAATTATGTATATTAGTGTATTTGTTTTAAGTTTAGTTGCATTTGGCAACATTTTGAACAATGAGCAATACATTTCAATGGAATACCTTTTACAGTTTCAACAAGTAGCTGTATTTTTTCGCCTCTGTTTTGTGTGTGAATCATTTCTATGAAATTACTGCCGATGAACGGCAATAACCGACAACTGAGAAACACTCACAAAAGGTCTTTCTCAGTTGTCGGTTATTGCCTCGTCTTCGTCTTGCGCCAATTTTTGGGTGAAAGCTTAACCGTAAAGTACCTATTCTCCCCCTACTCTCCTTGTACAGTTTTGCAGAGTGAAAAAGAAAGAGACAGAGAAAGAGAGCCAATACAGTAATAATGGCTCCCAGGGGGACTTGCGCGGTTACTGCTCGATTACATATCGGGAGGCTGAGGATAATTCCTATTCTAAGTAAAATGCGCTTGGCAACACTTATTATTATTGTGCTTATTTACAGCAGTTTTTGGTTGGTGCTTTGTTTTCACTGTTGAAATTCAGGTTGAAGAATGTTGCCAGACTCTCTCCCTGTCTGACGAATCAGCGACATTGTTTATTGGTTACAAAATACTTGGCACGTTTTGCTTAAAAGCCCTTACAACAGGTACATCATCATCATGTGCAATGAAACTGAAAGTGAAGCAAAGCTATGCCATTATACATTTGTGTGTATGTACCTGTGCATGAGCTTACTTTTAGGTATATGTGTTAGCATAAGTGGATACATGGAAACAATGTCAATGTAAAGGTGCTTTTACGAGGTATATACTAAGTCAAGATCAACATCATAATCATCATGAATTTGTTTTGCTAAAATAACTAAATACAGTGAGCGCTCCCTTTAGCGTTCCGCAGGCGTTGCTAATTTCTCTTTCGCGTATAAACCAAAAATAAAAAATAAAAGTAAAACCATATATAAATTAAATAGTTATAATATGCGAGGGCTCACTGTATCATCCTCATTTTTCATCTCGGGAATTCTCATTTAGCTTATTTAAATCGTTATTAATAATTTGATAATATTAGATTACATGTTGCAAATATTCCACACATGCAAACTAGTCAGATGTGGTATAATATTAATATTATACCTGTCCCAAGTTTCTTTTCACGTGGAGATACAGCATTAAAAAGCAAAAAAACTATTGCATAAATGAATATATCAAAGTTTTCCACATGAGAAATGAGCTCATTATTATTCTAGATGGAATATTTATGGACAAGAAACCAAACTGTTCTGACTAATAAGTTGTTATTACAATGTTTGACAGAGATAACGGAATTGTCAGCATTATAGACGGGCAGAAGCACCTGTTCAAATTGGTAAATATTTTATTAACTATGTTGGTAGCAGCAATGGCAATAACACCAATGCGATTAGACAGCACTATTAGTGGTAATAGGGGGGAAACTCTATAAATATTCATTGATTGCATTGTTATATACAGTTTATTCGGGCTGAATTTTGATTGCGCATAAATTTTTATTTTTTTTGTGTATTATGCGATTCATTAGTGTGTCTTATCAGTAATTTCTTTTTGCGTTCTTGTTGGCTAACTGGCTTGGCCCTCCTCTTTTGTGTTTTTTGTTTGATAAGTCAGAACAGTGTGATTATCACTGGAAATTGTGTCAGATAGTGACCGCGCGTGCCACGCCAAATAGATTGGCCTGGCCTGGTCGTGTTTAATTATGGCCTGAAGACGACAGCAGCAGCTGTGATGAGAAAGGGTTAATGAGCCCGCCCATCACACTGCGGCGTGCTGTTTGAATCAAACAAATACAACATACACTGCTCCAAAAAAGGAAACAACAAAAAGAAATACTTATCAGATAGCGTCAAAATTTAATCGCATTAACATTTTGTTTTTATGAACGAGTGTCGATAAATGCGCGTTAACAAAGACAACATAATGTGGTCACACTGGCCACGCGCTTGGCGAGTGCATGCCACATTGATAACACAACGCCGCTGGCGTGTGAGAGCGAGCGAGAGAGGGGCGAAAAATGAAAAGCAGCTGTTTTGCTACGATTGCTGCTTAAATAAAAGCTGCTGTTGCCAAAATGACTTTAAAGATGTTTCGTATGCTTTTCTTCCTTATTCTTCACACACACACACAGCTTATTTCACAAGTACAGTTGTAGACGAGAAGAGGAAGCTTTTGAACTATGCTTGCTGCTGGTGCTGATATTGCTGATAGCATCCACCTTTCTTTTCTTTTTTTTTTCTTTTTCGCTTTTCGTCGTCTATCACCATGGGTCAAGATCGTTTCTGTGACGCATTTCCGTAATCTACATATATATATATGTCTATATACTTGTATTATATTCATACAGCAAAATTTGCAGTTTTTTTCATATTTGTTTTTCTGTCATTTGTTCAATTGCACTTGGAATCAGTTAAGCGAGTTGTGCTCCTCTCACTCGCTATACATCTATCCACCCAACCCCATCCCACTTTGCATTCAGACAATTGTGAATTTGTCTACATATATATATATATATATATATAATGTATGTAAATATAAAGTGCTGCTGCTGCAAAAGCTCGGTCGACGCTGTCGCCTCAGCCAGCTGCAGTTGCCAATCAAACTCGCTGCAAAAATCGCGCCATTCGATTTTAGCGATGTTTTCAAAACACTATGTATACCCTATGGTAAACGAGGGTATTACAATTTTGTCGTGGCATGTGTGTAACGTATTGATGGATGTATATATATATACTTGATCAGCATCACTAGCCGAGTCGATATAGCCATCGCGGTTTATCCGTTCTTTGTGTCCACTGCTTTTATTTTTGTTTTTAATAAATAGAGCTTTCTCAGTCTTCGATATTTTCCTTTTTGTCAGAGTCTGTCGAGCGGATCGAACTACTGTATTATATAGCTGCCAGAGGAACAATATAACTGCACAAGTGTGAATATTCAGTTAACAACCAGCTGTGAAACAGAAGAATATAAAATTTGCTCAAACTCCTCCGGTCTTCAAGAGTATTCCATCTTCGGTGTGGCTTAGTTAGGTGTTCGTGTTTAATTTATTTTTTTTTAAATTACCTATTTAGTTTGTTTTGTGATTCTGCTTTTTTTTTTATTGTTTTTGTTTTTTGTGACCTCTGCTTGCCGGCAAGTTGACAGTTATAACTGCGCTGTCGCGGTTGCATTCTAGCGTCGCAGCGTCAATTTGCTTCGATCGGTTTATTATTGTTTTTTGCATTTAGTGCACAATTTTTAGTGTCGGCGCATCGATCGTCGTTGTGACAGTTTCACATTATTATTTGTTATATTTTTGGTTTGCTTTTCTTTTCTTTGTTCGCATCTTTCTGTCTGTTGCATATATTGTGAGTATTATTTCTGGAACGCTGTTTTACAACTCTAAACTCGGCCCAGGTAATTGCAACTGCACGCACACACATGCATAAATCTGACATCTGATTAGCCCTTCAGGGCAGTCTGATAAGTGGCTGTCTTCAATTGTTATTTTTTATTACAAAACTCACCTATTGTTGTGTGTTGCTAATGCGCATTTATATTGTTGCACGAATCAATGTGGTTATTATTGGAATGCATAATAACTAGTTTAATTCCAGTTGGATTAATCAGCAAGAACAATTATAAAACACCACACGTTGAACACTTGAGCCATGTTGGTTGTTGTTGTACAGTGATCGCCAATTGGAACAGACAGTGGTGATTCTAATAAGCAAACTAAAACCCATTTCAACAGGTGTTGCCTGAAGAAAAATGAATCAATATCAGCAAATCAATTGAATATGTTATGAGCCTAAAACTGAGACCAATTCAATACTCAAATCGTTTCTAAACGGAGTAATAATAATAAATCACATCGAATTACAAAGCGCATTACTAATTGTAAAGTATTTTGAATGCCAATTAATTTGCTGCTTGAAATACAAAAATATGATCAATTAAAAAAAATCGTGCACAATTTGCGGTTATTTTCCGCCAAACACAGCTGATGTTCTCGATGTGAGTGTGTGTGAGTAGGTGCGTTAGATTAGTGTCTGCTGTATGTTGATGTCTGGCCTCCATGGCCTGTCTGGCAGCACTGACCTTGACAGAGATCGATTGTTGTTGTTGTCTGCCATTTTGAGTTCCGCAAGTGTTGAGTTCAATTGATAAAGACGGAACGTCGTCGTCATTTACTGCTTGAGTATAAATATGTCATTTGGCTTTATCTCTCTACCCTATGCATATACACACACGCACACACATTTACATTGCTGCATGTGGTGTGGAAAGTTATTCAGCAACGATTACGCATAAGCTGATAATTTGTTGTAATTTACAATTGCCGGCCGCTGACTCAAGCTTAATAAATTTAGCATGTGCGCATCGTCAATTGATTTATCATAATTTCGCTTTGCTTGCTATAGTTATTAATAGTGTTTTTTTTTCATATTGATCTTGCGTAACAGCTAACAACGTCGCTAATCAAACTGAAGATCAATTTAATGCCTTCGCCTTCGCATGCGCAAAATATGTTCTCAAATATTCTTTGGCATATGTGCTCTTATGTGTTTCTTCTTCTGTTCTTATTCTCTCTTGTTTCTTATAGTTATTTGTTCAATTGCAATTTTAGCATTAAAAGAGTAGCCAAAAGACAGACAACGAGATGCCAATCGTGTTAACAGTGTCGTTAACAGCAGTCTAGCAGTCAACCAACCACAGATAGCAACAGCAACAACAATATTTCTGCAGCAGGCAGCATCAGAAAAACAAGTGCTTCACAATTTTCTGTTAATCGATTGCTAATTACAACCAGGGCTGAACTATCGATAACAAAGAACAAAACTTAACATAAATAAAACACATGCACACACACTGACATACACACTCATATATAAGCACGCATCCCTCGTGTTTCGATCAACAGCTGTTTTCCCCATATCTATTACGCACACACACATACACATACATACTCACACACGCGCATACATTTTGTTGCTTTCTATCGCCCACGCTCATAGCACGTTTCTTTTTGCTCTTTTTTTCATCACTTCTCGTTCCGTTCTTCTTTGGCTGTTGGTGTTTTCTTCCATTCTTACGCGTTCGTTCAATCGATCGTCCGCTTCGTTTCTCAAGTGCAAAGAAGTCAAACATTTATCGGCTATTTTAGACACATACATACACGTATATTTATATACACATTTGTGTGTGTGTGCGTGTGCGTGTCTGTCTGTGTGTTGCTATCTAGTTTATTCCTATTTTCATATTTTGTGCTCTTCTCGGGTATTGTTAACTTGTTTTCATTTACACTAATTTTAACTACAAGTTGGTGGTTGGTTCTTTGCTAACGCTTTTGCCTCACAATAAATTTTGCCTAATTCACACACACACATATTTATGAATAATATTGTTGAGGTGCTTCATGTGGAACACGAAACAACAACATCAAATTCACCTTCATCTTCAGCCATCACCAATCCATTCACAACAACAACAACAACACAGACAACTAAAACAAATACTCGCCTAATTTCATGTCTCACACCACTACAACGACAACAACAACAACAACAACTGCTAAATGCAACAGCGCCTGCAACAACAACAACAACAATAGCAACAGCAGTAGCAACAACAACTGCAGCAGCAGCAGCAAACCAGCAGCAGCACAACAACAAGAACAACAACGACCATTCAAAACAATTACTTTACATTACAGCTAGCCAAAGCAACAATAACAACAGCAGCAGCAGCAACAACAACAACAACAATTGCTTGTTGATCAGCAGCAACCAGAAGACAGACCAGGACTTTACTACTGAGGGCAACCTAGACTTATTATCAACAACACCAACAACAACAAATCAGCAGCAGCAGCAGCTATTACTAAACAACAACAACAACGATAAGGACAGTTTTAAACAACAAATTAAGTGTGCATCTTCTAATCAAGCTGAGCAGCAATTAATTGATGAGGACAACCCTGGCTTATTATTACCCGCAACACCAACAACTGACCAATCGTTGCCAACACTTGATAAAGAACTAACAACAACAACAAAAACTAACGCATCATCATCGTCATCAGCAACAAATCCCCCGTCCCAGGATCCCTCCAAACCGTACAGCTCGCTGAATCCAACACAAACCAGCACCTCTAATTTCTCCAATTCCAACTCTACCTCGTCCAATTCCAACTCCACCTCGTCCAATTCCGAGCAAGCGAACACAAGCGAAAAGTTCTGCCGCTGCTGTTGTCAGCAAGAGTTGCAAGTGGAACGCGAACAAAGTGAGCGACACGCCGCAATTGTCGCCGCATCCGCGTTGCTAGCCAAGCAACTGGTTCTAACCAGTATCATGGACATGCCCTATAACACCTCGCCGTCGCTACGCGTGCGCACCACCTCGCTGAATCAGCTGAAGAAGACGGCCGATCTGGCAATTGAGAATGAGCTGCATGTGTGTCCATCTGTGATGTCCGAGGAGTTGCGCAAATTATTGCCACCCACATCGGAGACGGTGATGACGAAACCGTTCCCCATACGGGGCGAACGGACAATCGCTGACTGTACAACGCCTCATGTGATTGCGATGGTCGGTTTGCCGGCGCGTGGCAAGACCTTCATATCGAAGAAGCTGGCACGGTATCTGAATTGGATTGGGATTGCGACACGTGTGTTCAATTTGGGCGAGTATCGGCGGCATGCGACCACCGCGTACAAGTCGCACGAGTTCTTTCGCGCCGACAACGAGGAGGCAATGGCCATACGGAATCGCTGCGCCAATCAGGCACTCCACGATTCCTGCGAATGGCTGCTGAGCGGTTTGGGTAGCATTGCGGTATTCGATGCGACCAACTCGACCCACGATCGTCGCCAGCTAATCTATGATATTGTTGTTAAGAAGCATGGCTTTCGTTTGTTCTTTGTCGAATCGATATGCGATGATCCGCAGATTATCGAGCAGAACATACTCGAGGTGAAGGTCAGCTCACCGGACTACGTTAACATGAATACGGAATTGGTTGTTCGCGACTTTCTGCAACGCATCGAACACTACGAGGAACGTTATCAGCCCATTGATGAGGTCGCCGAATCTCATCTGAGCTTCATGAAGGTCTACAATGCCGGCAAAAAGGTTGTCGTCTACAACAATGAGGGTCACGTGGAGTCGCGCATTGTGTACTACCTGATGAACATACACATTACGCCGCGCACCATCTACTTGACCCGACACGGCGAATCCGAGCACAATTTGAGTGGTCTCATCGGTGGCGATTCGAATTTGAGTGCACGTGGTCATCAATATGCACGCGCCCTGTCCTCCTTTATTGGTCAGCAGCAGATTGGTGGACTACGCGTTTGGACGTCGTGGATGAAGCGGGCTATTCAAACGGTGGCGGATGTTAAGGCGCCTCAGGAGCGCTGGAAGGCACTCAACGAAATCGATGCCGGCCATTGCGAGGAGATGACCTATGAGCAGATCAAGGAACGTTATCCCGAGGAGTTTAAGGCGCGTGATGTGAACAAGTTTGCGTATCGCTATCCGCGAGGCGAAAGCTATGAGGATCTGGTGGCACGGCTCGAGCCAGTCATCATGGAACTGGAACGACAGGGCAATGTGCTTGTTGTCTCCCATCAGGCCGTGTTGCGTTGTCTGTTTGCCTACTTTCTCGACAAATCCGCCGATGAGCTGCCCTATTTGTATGTTCCACTGCATACGGTGATCAAGCTGACACCGGTCGCCTACGGTTGCAAGGTGGAGCACATTAAGCTACCCATCGATGCGGTCGATACGCATCGTCCCAAGCCAAAAATACCCGGCGATGTTAGCGAGCCAGGATTGGATGGCCTCAGCGGTGAGCTGGTGGCGCCCGATGGCGTCGGCAAGGTGCTAATTGTGGGTGACGATTTTGCAACGGCAACCAATGGCAACGGCGGTCGTGTCGACACCCAATGACGATATCGTCCCCTACCCAAAACAGCATCCAAATCGAAGACATTATAAAAGGCAATACTCCCCAATCCCCCCCGCCCTATCGTCAGCCAGTCAGCCACCTGCATTGCATGGCAATAGAACAACAATAAACATAATAATAACAATAATAATAATATATACAGACACTCACAGCGCAGGCGTTGTCGAAATCGAAACAATTACTGTTGACGGACAGAATGAAATGAAAAGTGACTGCAAAAAGTAAACGGTAAACGAACGCAGCTGTTGCTGTTAATTTGGCAACAGCAGCTGTACTAGGAATTAGAGTTAAAATTTACAGCGAAAATGATGAAACTGTTACTGTTAACAGTTGGCGTCAATTGGAACTGTAGCATTACCCTAATATGGAATATAACGCGAAATCAAGTGCAATGCCAACACATCATTTAACTTGATTATGAGGAATATATATACACAATACGCTCACCCGGCAAAACAGTTATTTTGCTGATACACATTGATTGTAACATTGTTACAGCAGACATTGTACTCTGTAATGCTAATACACACATACAATTTAACATTTGGCTGTTAACAGCGTTAACAGTCGCAGTGCGCCTTTTGGCCTATGTTTTACAGATGTGAAATGTTTATTTTTAGTTAATTTGTACTTAGTTTTTGTCTATGTTCTTGCTTTTTTGTGAATTTCTCTGTCTTTGAAAATTGTGCTAAATTGTGATTGGATAATACTATATGGAATGACGCTGTTGTTATATCAATGTACTTTTTACTTACAAACATTTAAAAACAAAAAACAAAAAAATACAATTAAAGAAACGATGAACTTAAAACAAGAACTTCAAATAAAACGTAGCGTAAAGTAAGACGAACAATTTTACATGACTACTACTATGTGTAAGTTTTATTAACATTTATTCAGAGATAAATGTACGTAAGCGTTTTTTTTTTTTTACAATCATTGATGTTTTTTCGATAAATATTTGTATGAAATTGCAGCAATTAAAGCTGTGAATTAGATTCTTTGTCTTATATTTAAACTTAAGTACAATTATATACCCAGATTATATACTTGGAAGCCATCACGATAAATGATGAATGATATGCGAGGAACGATAGCTAACTAACTATATAAAGATATATGTATATTTTTTCGAGTGTGTTTTTGTCCTTTCATTTGTCGTCTTTTCGATGTTGTCGTTTATACAAGCTTTAGCCCCACTTCCCCATATTGAACTAATTGAATTTGATGCGCTTACAAAATCGAAAAATCTATCTTTCTATATACACCACTATACAAACATATACAATATATATATATATATATATATATATTGATATACTGAATTATTGTAATTACTCAAATATATAATACATTAATAAATACAAATAAATTACAGCGAGAACAAAGCAAAAAAGTAAACGGAAATTGTGTTTTTTAAAGAAATGTTTGGGATATGGACTATTTATAAATAAAGTTAACATTAAATATTAACTCTAATATACAATAGATTGAGTTTGAAAACGAAATAAATGCACAAATGTATCAATGTCTGTCCGTTGTCTGTTTCTCTAATCCGATTGGGAAAGAGGCCAAATAACAGGCTAAAAGAAGCACAAAGTATATATTTGATGAGCATCAAAAGTCGGGTCATAGAAACTGCAAGAGTTGGAAACTTTAAATATGTTATATAAGCTACCGTAGATTAAGCTTATTGAATTTGATCGATAAATGGCGCAGTAATCGATACAAATCGATTTCCGATTAAACACAATTTATATATAACATAAACCAGGAGTGCTATTTAAGTCAACAGCAGCCAAATAGGCTTCTGATAGGCTTCTTGGCTTGTTGTCATCGAATACTTTTGGAACTCGGATCACGCATATCTATGGACAACAGCAGCGGTATTTGTGTAAATTTAGGGTTGCCATTCGATCTAATTATAAGTGCACAATATTTCCGGCGGGCTACCCAACTGAACTATATGCATAAGTGTTATAAGAGCTTAGACATATTGTACAATTTAGTATAGCTTTAAGTCGTTTAATTCTTTTACAGCTAGTTAACATTTGATCAGCTCTCGCCAATGTTTAAAATATTTCTTGATAATGCTTACAGCCGCCTCTGCGTGCACAACGGGAGGAGGAGGAGGAGGGAAAGGAGGAGGTCAACAACCATCAGCAACTGAGGGCAGCGAGGCAGCTGCTCCCATAGGATCTCAAAATGCGACGCATACGCAACGATGAGGTGATACCGACCCGTTATCGGGGTGGCGATGTTGTATGGGTCAAATTAAATGCATTGGAGCTTTGGTGGCCGGGCAGGGTTGCCACCGCCGAGGATAATTGCTATATTACCACGAAAAGCACACCGTTTGCCGTCGTCGTCTTTTTCAGTGAGGAAACCTTGTAAGTGGCATACTTCTGTGCGTCGTCCCACATTGCTTGTTTAACCTATAACCTTTTTTTATGCAGTGAATTTGTGAGTTCAGCAAAGATGATTTATCCCTTTCACTGTCCTCGCAAATTGGATTTCATCGAGTTGGCCAAAAGTGAGTATTATTATTATTTTTTTTAATTTCCTAGCTTATTCAAAATACGAAAAGGCCTTTTCCCATTCAAATATATTTTCATAATCACATCGTCCGCATTTAGACAAATTCCAACGTAAACCAACCAAACAGAAAATAATTGGAATAACCAACTTTTAGATGCGGCAATAGATGTGGCAATTCTTCTTCCTAGTCCACATTGTCAAAGTCGTTGGACTGCAGCGTATGGTCCCCGTTACTATTATCATTTGCTGCATCGACTGCGGCATCAGCATTGTTTTCTGTATTCTTTCCCGTGTCCAGCTGCTTGAGCTGTGACCAGCCTGGATCACGTTGATTCACGTTGCTGTCGGTGAGCCAGCGATGTCCCAAATAGAGCATTGCACCCGTTGCCAGGCCACCGACGATAATTGTGCCATAGTGGCGATTGATGAGCATCTGCTGCAACGGCTTCACATTCTCCATTAGCGATTGCAGACGCAGCTGCGAGATTGCCCCAGCGGCATTGATCATATTTACAATAAAGCCGGCTTCTCCGGAATCATTCCAGCACAAGGACCGCATGTCCTTACAGAAATCCATTCTTTATTTTCGCTCGTTTTGCTTCTTAATTTTCTTATTTCGCTTTTGGATTAGTACACAAAATAAAGAGTTCACGTAAAAAAATAAGAAGACAAAAAGTGAGAAAAAAGAAATACAATTTTTTTTTTTTTGTTGTTTTGGAGCACGATCTGAACACTACCAGATATAAAATATATATGAGCTCTTGTTGTGTGTTTTTCAAATGTGGCACAACAAAGTCAAATCAAAAATTCGATGCTTACTAGATCTGTGCCGGCTCGAGCGAGATTGGTACTGGTCGCCCAGTAGGCGGAGTAGAGGGATCTAAGCAGCTATGAAATATGAGATCGATGGCAAGATGAGAATTTTGTATGAATATTATTGGGATAACTGCACGGCGACCTACTAGATCTACTATGGCCCCTTGCTGGGCCTCTAGCTCCTCAACCCCATGAATCCTGCACGAATGCGAGAATCTTTGTTGGATTGAGGGCTTCTATGTCTTTGGAGCTCACAACATGCAATTCTAGGATGCTGCTTCTGCTCTGCCAGGATTGAGGATTTTTCTTCGCTTTCGCAAAACCAGTTAGAAATATGTAGGGAATTGTAATCTCAATAACATCATATCTACCAATTTTAATTATTTCTATTTTATCTTATAATTATTGTTATTAATTATTGATTTGATTGCAGAAAAGAAAAACCTGCAAAAACAGAAGCTGGCGCTGTTTTTCGAGGATCTCAAATCGGCCGAAACGCTCAGTGTGAAGATAATGGCATCTGACGAAGCCGCCGCCGCCGCCTCCGAAAGGCCACCTGAAACCTTGATACAGGCCCAACTCTCGAATAGCGTGCACATCAACGATGACAACAACAGCAACAGCGGAGCCAGCAGCGAGAAGAGGACAAATGATAGTGTCAAGGTGACGACTCATTATTGATCATATCTGTCAGTCTATTAATGCACCTGAAAGAAAGAAAATATGTTAGGAATATCACAGATATCCCATCGAAAATGCTGGTGGAAGGAAGCAACTCCGACCACTCAGAATATACTTATGTATATAAAGATGGCTGGCCATGACCGGCTCAGAGAATATATAGAAGTGCCACAGATTTCAGATCCAGTTTAGCTAATTTCGATTTTGCTAACAAATGGAAATTAACACCAACTATTGTCAGTGATGCTTTGATGTATTTAGCAGCTATCTCGACTAGAAGTTCATTCAAATTTGTCTTCTTACGGAATATATACTTAATATTCCAACTATTCGGGTATTCGGGGCGTTGACGACTTCGTCTTGTTGAGGATCTTAACGCTGCAGCGCTTCACGAACTCGACTCTCCTACGACTAATGCTAATGCTGCTGTTAGATCTTTTAATCCCACTATAACTACTCGTTACATATATAAGTATCTAATTTAGGGTATTTAGAGTTGTTCTTTGCAAACCTTTAAAGAGTTCTGATGGCAAACATTTGGAATATTGGGAATTAGACATCTTTGCCTTTCTCAGCTAGCATTATTGAATAATTGTATATATTTAATTGACAGGATTCGCCGATACGCATCATGCCACTCACGCCCACTGTCCCGATTGACGTAAAGGAGCCGCAGCCTCGTGTCGGAGAGATAAAACCGACGACATTTTACTCGTGCCATTCCTGTGAGTTTCGTGCGCTGAGCATTAGTGTGCTGGTACACCATCAGTACACGCATTTCCAGGTGGTTGGCGAGGTGCATCGCAATATGGAGATTAGTGCGTCATATCATGAGCTGCGTCGCGCGTCCCAAGGCAATTTGTCGCGTGCAACCGATGGGAAATCGGCCCGGACATCGGCACGGACATTGACCTCCAAAAGGGACAATAATGAAGCGGTATCTAATGTGTATCGCTCCATTGTGATGGATCCGACGCTGACCGATGAAGCGCATCGCATACTCGATACGGCTGCGAGGAAGTCCTATGTGACCGTTGATCACGCTGTGAATCCCAATAAACCAGAACTTCCGCTGGCCGAAATGGATATGAATGAGACATCCTCGCGTCCCCCCAAAATTCGAAAGCGATGCCATACGACTATACCGGAGCCGCCGGAACTGGATGCTGGAACGCCACTGGCCAAAAGGCCAGTTCTGTCCAAGCGTGGCAATTCTCCATCCAAGGATAAACTGAGAACGATGTCAACGGAAAAAAAGTCGCCGAAACGACCACGTCAAAGAGCAACGCTGCAGACGCTGGAGGCGACGGCGCTGGGACCGCAATTTGAGCTAGAGACAGAGCAGGAATCTGATCTTGAAACAGATGTGGAAACTGGGATGGAGCAGGCGGCAGACAAAGCTGTTCCTGTTGCTGATACTGATACTGATGCTGAAACTGAAACTGGAGCAGCAGGGGCAGTGGCAGTAGCATCTACAGCAGCTGAGTTCTGCAGCTTCAGGCAGAATAGCATGCTGGCCGAGGGGATTGCGGAAGTGCAGGAGGTGCTGGAAAAACAGCGACGTGGCAAGCGCACCGTCAACCGGCAGCTGGAATTTAAGCGTCGCGCCAAAAACGGCAGCTCCTGGCAGGATGGTTGGGCGTCCGATAATACAGTGCCAACGAAGAAGAGCCACCGACGCAGCTTGTTACCTACCATATTAAGCGACAGACGTTGCACCATGTCCAACCTGGTCAGCACACATGAGGCGGCGAACAGCAGAGCTGCTCACGTCCAGTCCAAGCTTGACCATGCCTTAACGCCAAATAAGCCGACGACGCCGAATCAGCTTGGCAGTGGCGCTGCCGCAAAAGAAAAGTCGGCGTTACCCAAATCGGAACTAGAGAGTACAGATGCTTCCCTTACGCTGCAGCAGAGCCTGTTGTCCGAATGGGGTGAGGATGAGCAGGAGGATCAGCTGCTTGTGCACAGCAATGGAGAGCAGCAGCCGCAGCAACAAGTGAAGAAGATTCTGATCGAATCAAAGGCCGACAACAAGAAGCAGCCTGATCAGGAGAAGCAGCTGCAGCAGCAGCAACAGCAAGAGGAGGAGGAGGAGGAGGAGGATGATGGGACTGAGGTTGAGGAGACAGCTAGTGGTGGCAGCTCTGCCGCCATAAGCAGTGATACATCCTCGTCAGCGGCGACGACACTCACAGTTGTCGCATCGACCTCATCCTCAACCTCGTCCTCGATTAAGAAGCGTGTACGCAACATACCAAAGAAGGATCGGCGCGATGTGGTGCTGCAGGAGTTCGTCGATGTGAGCGGCGATGGGAGCGGTGGCGATGCCGCCAGCAATGAACGGAGCGTTGATCTCATTGTCATCGATAGCGATACGAATTCGACGGCAAGTGTTGTCTTTGTCGAAACGGGCGCCGCAATCACAGCAACAGCATCGAATCCAACGCCAGCTGTAACTACTACGACAGACGTTGCCAAGCCAGTGCCAACAGTCGTCTCTGCCACTGCTGGTCGAAATAAGAAGAATTCCTCTTGCTTTGATTTCGCCGAAGAGGAGGAAGAGGAGGTGAAGGCTGCACTACAGCCACCTGCAGTGCCAGCCGATGGACAAAATGGTTGCCCAAGCTACAGGCGGCTACTCAGCAAACCGCCGCAGGCAGCTGTCCCAGCTCACCTCAGCAACGGCACCAACATGGCAAACGAAAGTGAAGGAGAAAGGGAAGGGGGGGAACGTAACCTAATCCCCATTGTGACTGATTTGGGCCTGGATCTAAACGTAAGTCTCGGTGACAGTTTCAAGGTCTTCTGCGAAGAGTTTGTCGCAGAGCTAGAAATGGCAACGACAGCAATTGTGCCGCCAGATGTGACGCCGCCAGATGTGGTCGAGTTGCAAGCGGAACAGAAGAAGCTCAGTTTGCCCATTAAGGAGCGACAGAAGCGCATCTTCAAGTCGCGCAATATATCACAGCAGCAGACGGCCGTCCAGCCTGACGATGTGGTTCAGGAGGCGGAACACCTCGAACCTGAACCTGAACCTGAACCTGAGCCCGAACCTGAACCGGAATCAGAGCCGGAGCCGGAGCATTTGCAGCGAAAGCAGCCGGAGCAGCTAGAAGCAGCAACAGTTGCTGCAATTGCTGTTGCTGCCATAGCAGAAGATGCACCTATGCCAGCCGCAGCAATTCCAACAACAGCAGCAGCCACAAAAGTGCCAGACTCGCCACAGACTCAACTCATGCAGAGGACGACATCCAACAGCAGCAGCAACAACAACAATAACAACAACAACAACAAAAATAAAAATAAGACTGAACGGCGTCGCCGGAATCAACTTAAAATGGAAAATACAAAAACCAAGTCGATAACCAAAATCAAAACTAAGTCAAAAATAAAACCGCTACCGCAACCAATAAGAACATCGTCGTCCTTCTCATCCGATGGCGAGGAGGAGGAGGAGGAGGAGGAGGAGGAGGAGGAGGAGGAGGAGGCGGAGGCGGAGGCGGAGGCAACGGCGACGGCTGTGGAGAAGGAGCTGAAGGTGAATGACACAACGTTGCTGTTGGAGACGGCGAACGATCGCAGCAACATGTCGCCTGCGCTGAGCAGCAACCACAGCAACATTAGCAAGACTTATCGCAGCAACAAGCATAACATTAGCAACAACAATAGCAGCAGCAACAACAACAACAACAATAATAACAACAACAATAACAACAACAACATCAGCAGCATTGCTAACGACAATGAGAACAGCAGCAACAAGAGCAGCAGCTATCGCAGCAACAGCAACTCATTTGTTTCGAATATTGCCGTTGTTGCCGCTGAAGAGGAACGGGAACTGCAGCGATCCGCTCAAGCATTGGCCGACAATTCAAATGCGAGTGGCGTCACCATATTGGAGAACATATTGCTGCCCACACTCTACAAGCCATCGCCTGTGCCAGCCCCATTTAGTTGCAATGAAAATAGCGATAGTTGCGCCTCGACTGCCAGCAATGCAAGTGACAACAGCAACATAAACATCAACAACAACAACAACAACGACGACAACGACAACAGATGTAGTAGTAGTAGTACTACTACTAGTAGTGCTACTACTAGTAGTAGTACGAGTACTAGTAGTAGCAGCAGTGATGGAGTAGGAGAAGGATTAGAAGGAGATGGAGGTAGTGTTAGCAGTGATAATAGCAATAGTCAGTTAGTGTTGCAACAGCCACAAGCTGCTGCTGCTGCGACTACACAGGCAAAGCCAGTGCTGCCACAAGGAGAGGAGAATGAAGAGCAGGAACAAGGGGACGAACTGGTCGAGACGCTGGAGGAGGAGGAAGAGCAGAACAATGACGAGCATGAGGAGGAGGAGGAGGATGATGATAATGATGATGATGATGATGACGATGAGGATGAGTATGACGATGAGGATGACGATGATGAGGAGGAGGAAGAAAAAGCGGACGAGCAAGAGGAGGAGGATGAGGAAGACCAGTTAAATCAGCTGGCCTGTCCAAGCTCCCCCGATAATGAAATGGACAGGGGACAGCAAGAACAGCAGCTAAAAGAAACTAACGAAAATAATTTGATGTCATCGTGTGGCAAGCGCGAGTTGTCACAGCGCAGCTGGACTCGTCCCATCGATCCCTACTCACGCGAGGCAAACCTAACGAAGCATGAACTGGAGGCGTTGCGCAGATACGAAGAGGGTCTCGCTACCGGAAGCAATGCGGAGAAATTGCGGCTGGCACGGGAGCGTTTTACGCGCATATGCAACATGAACCAACCTCCCGCACAGTCGTCGGAGTCGAGGGAGCAAGAGGAGAAGGAAGAGCAGGAGCAGCAGAGGGAGCAGCAGAAGGAACAAGAAATGGAGACCGCTCTGCTCCTCGAAATTCAAATGGAACAGATGCTGGAGCATGAGCGGGAAACGGAACGTGCTGCTAGCGAGCAGCCGTCTAACTTAATGCTGCCAGCTGAGCATCGCGCCAGCAACTCCAACAGATCCTGTGAAGCGTTGACCACGCACCAGCTCTGCTCGCTGGGCAACAATAACAATTTTACACCGATCTACAATGATACACTGTATCTGGATAGCGAGAATCATTTGGTGCCCGTGCCGCTGAGAGCGATGCTATTGCCCGATCAGCAGGAGGAACACGAGCAGGAGGAGGAGCACGAGCACGAGCAGGAGCTCGATCAGGAGATGGAAGCGACTGGGAGCATGCCGCCGTTGAGCCAGCAAGTGACTGATAATGTTATTGTCGGTGATTTCAATGGGAATCTCGATGACATTGACATGGTTGAGGATGGCGTTGTGGTTGCTAGTGACGATGATGATGATGACGATGATGATGATGATGGTGAAGCGGCCGATGGCTTAGCGCCAAACGATATGTATCAGTTGCAGCTGGAAGTGCTGCAGCTGAACGTCAATGGGCAGCAACTGCAGTTGACCACCGATAACCTGATGAACATTATGCAACAGCGGGACGACGTTGTCTTCGAGAACGACGACGGCGGCCGGATAATACTGCAGGCCAGCGATATCATCCAAGCGGCCAAAGTCTATCTACAGGAGCGCGACCTGCAGCTGGTCAATGTGAATGATGCGATGAGCGTCGATTATGTTGCCGATGATGATGATGATGCCGTTGGCGGCGTTGCTGATGATAATGGTGACGTTCCTGGTGATGATGCCGTTGCTGTCGTTGCTGCGCCCGCCAATGATCTCCTGGCTGCTGCTTTGGCCGGCACTGATGTCATCGATGTGCCCCACCATCATCGTCAGCATCATCTGCAGCAGCAGCAGCAGCATCATCATCATCACCACCATCATCACCAGCATCATCTGCAGCAGCAGCAGCATCATCATCATCATCTGCAGCAGCAGCAGCAGCAGCAGCATTCATCATCATCATCATCATCACCACCACCATCATCATCAGCAGCAGCAGCACCAGCAGCTGACATCACCGATGGCAACATGCACAAGCGAAACGAATTCGCAGCTGGATCAGTCGCCCATCATGTCGACGCTGGAGCATCCCACTGGTGGGCTGCACATGTGACGCATCATTGCGCCGCTGCACGATGGCAATCTGGAGCATAGCCTTGCTGTCATTGGTGTCACCAGTGGCAGTGGCAGTCGTGTGCCCACATCCATGGAGCTGCCCATAACAATTACCAATCCGGCTATTGCCTCCCGTCCATCCGTTGTCAATGATGTCATCAAATTTGTACAGTATCAGTAGCTGCTGCGTGAACTGGACCTGGAGGAGGAGGCGGCGGCGTCGTCAGCGTCAGCGGAGGACTTGCAGGACGAGGAGGAGTACTAGCAGCAGTATCAAAAGTCGCAGAAACAAGACTAAAAACAAAAAATACCAAGTTGAATTTTCTTTTTTTTTTTTACATTCTTTTCCATTTGTTATATTATAAAAATATTTTGAATATATAAGGTGTAGAAATATCTGTATCTATCTGTAGTCTGTAGTAAATAAATATGTGATTTTCACGAGCGGGGGCAACCCTGGTTGCCCTCACGCTCTCATCTCACAAAGTATCTCCTGTTTTTTGTAGTTTATAAGAATGTGCGTTATGTGCACCAAATGTTGCAAGTTTCTTTTTTATTTTTTGATTTTTTGTATTTTTATTTTTTATTTTTGTATTGCTTTTTTCTACATTGTACATCTAATAGATATAAGTTTATAATATATAAGTAGACTTAAGGGGGGGACATGCTACGAAAAGCGAATACAAAGAGATGAACAAAGAACATTTTGTAGATTTAAGCGTTAAACTTAGCAAACGGATAAAAACTCGATATTATCGAGAACACACATCTATATATACTATGAAAAATAAGTATGTAAAAACATGTAAATTACACAAATGTATTTATGTGTATGAGAGAGAGAGACGACGACGATTGACAAGCTAACAAAAGAAAAATATTTTTATTTAAATGAAAATGGAAACTAAACACATGTTCTTCAGTATCAAATCAGTTTTGTAAATGTCACCTTAAGTATATATTAAATCTTTTTTTTTAATAAACGTAATGAATAAAATAATCAAAACAAAAAAAATAAATTAATTAGGTTGCCGCATAATAAGCGACATTTTAAACAAAATGAAATCCAAGCAGTGTTTTTCTCTATAGAGTTATTTATGTAGACTACATTTCGCTATTTCTGTCTTTTCAGTTCTCATAGAAAATCGATACCTTGAACAGCTGAAGTAAAAACGTTTTTCTCTAAATAGAAAAGGGCTCACAGCTCGTGCAATATCCTTGAGATTCCCAGCAACTGGCCAAAGTACACTCCAATCGTTCTTGCAGGTTCCGGATAAATACGGATTTTCTAATTGCAGTGAATGACCCCACGATCCATGAATGGAATCATATAGTGTGGTCTCTAGTGATTCGAAAGCATCATGTTATCCACGATTCAAACAATGACACGACTGAGTTCGAGCTGTTTTTAAAAAAGGAATTGGTGGTTGAGAATACTTAAAATAGAAATGTGTTCAACACATCGTTAAAGACCAACATCGTCAGTAAGCAGCAGCAGATCCTTGAGATCGAGGCGATGTTGGATGACGTGAATGAGAAACCTCGAATATACTCCTACTGATTGGTAATGAGTATCGCATCGATAATGCGATGGACAATAAGAACGACCTGCAGTTACCAGTTACACCAATCTCTCGCAGGTCGTGCAGCAGCTGATGATATCTTTAACCGAGGCCACACGCATCTCCCTCACCATTGGCAAAATGGAAGTTATGCTGGATAATCAGGTGCTCCAGTAGCAGTTTGCTGTTCTTCTCTGAGAACAGCTCCAACATTTATACCCAATAGTAGAGATAAAGATATTAGAGTGGAGTGGATCTCAATTGAACTCAGTGATATATATATATATATATAAATAATAAATGTTTCATCAGTTTTCTTATTGAATACTGTGATCAATGCTATTTGCTATTCTCTTTATCCAGCTCGTATCTCAAATTCTCAAATTCTCTCGTATATTTATTGAAAGTTTGCCGACTCGAGTTAACTTTACATTTCTTTTATTGAGTTTTCCATAAATTGCATGACATTTGCTTGTTGCAATTACGGTACGCTTAATTATCAATAACAATTGCATATAATTTATTTCAAAATGTTTTTGTTTTTCGTACGCTGTATAGTTTCAATGATAATAATTATTATTATATTATTATTGTAACCGGCATTATTTTCTTTGCACTCAACTTTCGGCTTGCCTTCGAATCTAATAATTGTTGTGTGTGTGTGTGTGCTTTTGTAAATTGTATGTATGTGTGTGTGTGTTTGTGTGTGTGTGTTTGGATGAGTTTACATATTTTGTGTTGCTCTTGTTTATTTTTACAGTGGATTTTACTACACATCTTTAACAGAACACAAGACGCACAAGGATAATGAAATTAAAAAAAAAATAAATGTCTAAGCACAATTAATAAATAATAATTAAATACAATTACTTTTGTTGGCATATATGTGTATATATATATACATACATATGTACGTTGTAAATGTATAATAATAATCAAACAATAATAATTATATATGGTTTATTTGTTAATTGAATATTTTTGGATGGCGACAAATAAATACTTGACTTTACGCTCATAGCCAAGTCAATTTCTTGAGCTAACAAAATTTGTAACATGCGAAATTTTGGGACCTCAGCTAATTCAATTCAATTAATTGATTTAATAATAATTGACGTATTCGAACATAAAAATACTTTGGGTACCTAACTCTCTTTTTTTGTTTTTGAAAAATAATTTGCTAAATAAAACAAAAAATATTAGAAACTGTCGGCTTAGTTTTGTGAGTGTTGTTTTCTTGTTGTTGTTGTTGTGTGGTTGTTGTTTACTTTGTTGCAGTTGTTGTGTTTGTTGTTGTTGTTTGCTTTTGCTATTTGGTTTGAGGAGCGAGTGTTTTGATGTTGCTTTTAAATACAGCCAAACTGAATTTCTTGTAGTTGTTGCTTTTTAACACTCTGAACAAGTTCGTAATATGCTTGGCAACAGTAGGCAGTTTAAAGCTTGGCGCAGATCTCATTTGTAAACTCTGAGCACTTGGCACGTCCACCGAGATCGCCAGTTAGATATTTGCCCTCCTTGATGGTCTCAAAGGCGGCGCGCTCAATCTTATCGGCATGCGAATTGAGCTCCATGTGGCGCAGCATCATTACAGCGGACAGCAGCAGCGCCGTGGGATTGGCCAGATCCTTGCCAGCAATATCTGGCGCTGTACCATGCACAGACTCAAACAGAGCACCGTTCAGACCCATATTGCCCGATGGCGTCAGGCCAAGGCCACCAACCAGACCGGCACACATATCAGACAAAATATCACCATACAGATTGGGCATAACCTAAAATAGATTAGAGATGATGTGGCATGTAATTATACATTCAGTAGTAGTAGTAGTAGTAGTTGTAGTAATCGCCGTGATCCAACACTTACCAGGACATCATATTTGGCTGGGTTCTGCACCATGTTGAGGCACACCGTGTCCAAGTAACGCTCCTCGAACTGAATTTCGGGGAACTTTTGCGCCATGTCGCGCACACAACGCAGAAACAGGCCGTCAGACATGCGCCTGCCAGAAATAGAATAGAGGATAGGATTGTTTGAATCGAATCAAGTGGAAGTGGAAGTCGAGTTCGCTGCTCGAGTGCTTACATAATGTTCGCCTTGTGCACCACAGTCACCTTCTTGCGATTGTTGTTCTTGGCATATTGGAAGGCGTACTCGGCCACACGCTTGGAGGCCTCCTCGGTGATTAGCTTGATGCTCTGCACGACACCATCGATGATCTCGTGCTCGATGCCAGAGTATTCGCCCTCGGTGTTCTCGCGAATAGTGACAACATCGACATTATCGTACAATGTCTTGTAGCCCTCCAGACTGCGGCAGGGACGCACATTGGCATACAGATTGAACTCCTTGCGCAGAGCCAAGTTCAACGAACGATGGCCCTTGCCCACGGGCGTCATCAGGGGACCCTTCAAGCCGATCTTGTTGGTGTTGACCGAATCGATGGCAGCCTGGGGAATGCCGAATCTGCCATCGGGTCCCTGTGTGCCAATTGATTGAAATTTCCATTTTATTATTTATGTACATATTTGCATAGCGTTGCCACCTAACTATTATTTCAAATCCCAAATATCAATTTCGATTTAATGGACTATTATATTATTATATAATTAACTAATTGTGCACCTGATTTGTGCATTTCCACCTGCATAACTTTCTTACCGATTAACTTAGTTTCGATAACAAGTTACTTCGATATTGATTGTTGCCTGGCTGGCAACTCTCGAAAATTGAGTAGTTGTGCATTTAAATTTAAAACATATGATTTATGTGGGGGGAAATTACTTACACGGACTGGCGTCACATCGACAGCTTCCCACTCGATGGGCACACTGGCGGCAGTGAAAATCTTTTGCACAGCAGCAGAGATCTCTGGGCCAATGCCATCGCCAGGTATCAGCGTTACCTTCTTGCCACTGGACGCATAGCCACGGCTAGCCGCTGGCGTTGTGTTGACCTGCAATAAGAAAAGTCAAATGCAAGAAACCAGTTAACTGTCAATTAAATCAAAAGTTGACAGCACACAACACACACACACAACAACAACAGCGACAACTACACTACACTGTCACGAGACTTATGCATATTTAACGGTTATCAACATGCCAGATGTCTAATTGGTTACATAAGCGACATCATCTCGCATGCAGAACGAAGGAGGCGGCAGCGACGGGGGCTACATAGCTGCAACCGATTGTCCCGTGCGCGTTTTCCCGTTGTTGAGGTTAGAGCGCGCATCTGGCAAGCCAAGGCAGACAAGTGTTGCCAGCACTTTTTTATGCAACTCGTGCAAAAAAAATAAATCAGTAGATAGAAGAGAAGTAATTTATGAGGGTAATAAGATAACTGAACTAATACAAAGTTAGCAAAAACATTGCGATAGGCACACAAGGAGAGCCCCTTTCCCTTCGCCGACCATCGCAGTGGCGCCCCCTTCCGCGCGTACTTGTGTGTTATGTAAAAGGAACTTTTGATTCCAAATTTTTTTTGCGATACGTTTTTATAGATGCGCTGTTGCTCCTCTGGGAGAGCAGTTGTTGGCTTTGAATTTGAAGATGAGGCAGCACGAACCTTGGCTTTAAGTGTTGTTCTGGCCAAGGCCGTTGACTCTGGGACCGCATCACGCGCAGCCCCAAAACCCAATTGCTTGAGCTGGAAATTTTTGTTTTTGTTATTTTTTTTTGCGTAATGTGTTGGCAGCACGTTGGTTGGGTTTGTCGGTAGTAGTAGTGGTTGATTGTTGAAGGGGTGTTGCAGGAATTTTTTTCAATTAAAAAACAAAATCACAGTGTTAGTTTATCATTTTTCTTTCTTATTATTATTAGTTTTGTCCCCCATAAGGCCGCACGTAATCAATGGGATGGGGGAGACGTTGCGGCAGGATGGGGGCGAACAAGCGCAGCACAATGTTTGCTTGTCATAACTCGCAAGCCGTAGTTAATATTATTATGATATTATCCTTTGTATTCTTACAATTTTCTGTATAAATCTAGCAGCCATTGCGTTGAGTTTGATATTTGCACTTGGTTATTTCACGTATAGAAAAAATTCGACACTCGCACGTCTGAGACTTTACTTTGCGCCCGCCGTATCGCCACCTAGCGGAAAACTGGTGAATGTCGAGCAGAGCAAGCCGATACGCACGTTATTGTAATCGAGCAAGCCTAAAAGCGTTGCCACATTGCTTAATATTCACATGCACAGCAATATAAGTGTTTTTCTCTATGATAGCTTAATTTATTGGCTAGTTGCATGAATAGAAAATCCAAAAAATGTTTAAGTACACACAGTTAATGAATATGTATTTAAAATGCGTTTTTGATTCAGCTGGTGTGGCAAGGATTGAACTCAGATTGTACATAAAACATATTGTGGCTTCTCAGATTCGATTTCAAAATTGTTATATTGCAATGGCATCACCAATCTGAAAAGTTATCGACGCACCGCCTCTAGAATACTGATAATTTCCTTTTCAACCTTGCGTGTTACAGCCACAGTTTAAATTAATTTCGGCTCTTGCATAGATTTTGTTCAATATACGATACAAAGTTGTTGTTAATTATTAAACAGTGTTTAAATAAAACGCTCCAATATTTGTGGGCACTGTACGGATAACGCAGTTGTATGTAGCACTTAAGCCACACCAACAATTTACCGACCAACGAAAGACAAAGCTACGCTACGGTCGTACTGGCAAAGTGTGCTGTGAACGGCCAATGCAGAATTGTCATACTCGGAGTTTTTTTTTCGCGTTCAGTTTAGGTTTTAGTTACCTGCGCGCAACAACCCCGTCGCCGTTAGACGTGATTGCGTCCTGCGTTTTCAAATCCAAAACTCAACTAATAAATATCGCTGCCAACAAATGAATGCACTGGCAGTCACCTGGAAGTGCTGCGACTTGTAAATTGGCATTTAATTGTGTAAATACATAAGCGAAAGCAGCATCGTACCCCGTGTATTTCTTTTGTGAGGCGCGCGTCTTCTTTTTTTTTTTTTTTTGCTGGCTGTGTAGTGAAACAACCACGGGCAACATTTAAGGTAAGCTAGATGTGATTTAAATGTGTTTTTTTTACGTGTTTCAAATGTGCACTTTGCTATATGCATCTCAGCTGCTTTGGCCAACAATCACGCACACACTCTCCCGCCAGCTCACACGCACACAGGCGTGTACACACGCGCGAATACACGAACACACACACAGATGCACACAGATATGTATATACAGGCTAGGCACACTCACACACACACAAATACGCACAAACACAAATGTATAACTGTTTGACAGCACACACTACGACTACGGTCGTTAGCGACAAAGTGCTCGCATACATTGCTCAAATGCGCTGCGAATGCTGCCGATTTTCTATTTAATATCCAAATTTTTCATTTCGAAATAAGTGTGTGTAAATGGAATTGACGACAATTCGAGCATATTTCATTGTTTGCTGTGTGAGATCTTGTACAAGAAATTCGAATCTAAATAGAATTGTTAACTTTGCGTTTTGTAGTTGCTCCTTGGCTTGGCCGCTTAATTCCTTGACACGCCAACGGTAGCAAGAAACAACAGCACGATGGAGAAGCAAAATAAACGCTCGCAGCTCATACGCGACAAAATGGTGTTGGCCGAGCGCAACACCAGCGACATTGTGCGCAATGGTCGACGCTCACGTGGACCCAGCCCCAATACGCACACAAGCGGCGCTGGCAGCGGTGGCACTGGAAATGCTCACAATGCTGCTAGCGGCATAGGAGGCGGCGGTGCCGGTGGTGGCAGCAATTCCACAAACGCCACATCAAATGAAAAGGCGACAGCAACCGTACCGGTTGGCGGCACACCGGAGAGCTCCGACGATGATAACTGTAAGAATCTAACGATTAAAATACATAATTCTTATGTTATGGCAATATCACTTACAATTTTATATATTTATCACCTATTGATCTCAACGCAGCAACAAAACGAAATGGCAAATCCAAAGCTAAGCAGTCGGAATACGAAGGTAAGTCCAAAACATCCATCATTCATCAAATATGCATAGTGTACCAGCTTTTGCTTCTTTCTGTTTTGCTTTGACCAGAGAAAATACGCGTTGGACGCGATTATCAGGCGGTGTGTCCGCCACTGGTGGCTGAACCGGATCGCCGGCCGGAGCACATCAACGAACGCGCACTGTTGGTCTGGTCGCCCACCAAGGAGATACCCGACATGAAATGTAGGTGCAAGCTGGGAGATTATTGGTCATTGAATACTAATTGCAAGTTTCAACTCTAGTGGAGGAATACATTTCGGTGGCCAAGGAGAAGTATGGCTATAATGGCGAACAGGCGTTAGGCATGCTCTTCTGGCACAAGCACGATCTGGAGCGTGCTGTCATGGATTTAGCAAATTTTACGCCATTTCCCGATGAGTGGACTATCGAGGATAAAGTGCTCTTCGAGCAGGCATTTCAGTTTCATGGCAAAAGTTTCCATCGCATACGCCAGATGGTAAGCTATAATTTCGACTGATGATGATTAATCAAGTTGGCCGTGTGTCTCTAATCTTACAAATTGTACCTGTTCCATTTATAGCTGCCAGACAAATCAATAGCCAGTTTGGTTAAATATTATTATTCGTGGAAGAAAACGCGTCATCGCAGCAGCGCCATGGACCGCCAGGAGAAAATGATAAAGGCTGCAGTTAAAGAGGGCTCCGAGAATGGCAGCGAAGTGGGCAGCAATGAGGAATCTGATAATGATGACAAGGTAATTATCAGTTAAAACTTAGAGCTCAACAAACAAACGACAAAGCAAGACTCCACTCCCCACCCCCCCTCCACCCTCTTCAAGCCTCTATTCACAAATATTTGTGCATATGCACACATATACACCGACATACACATACACCAACACCCATCCCCATCACACATAAATCATCATCATCATAATCGGCTCTATCTCATTCATGCATAAGTAATTAATTCCTTGAGATCTTCAATCACACTCACCCAGCCCGCAGCCACACTCACCCAGTCCACAGCCACACTCATACACACGCACACACTCATACACTCACGCACACACTCACGCACACACTCGCACACACGCACACACTCACACACACGCACACTCACACGCACGCACGCACCCATACAATCAAATAGAAAAATAATATAAAATGGTAGCAAAAAAGAAAGGATGGCCCTCCTTTTAGTTAGTTCTAGTTAGTCTAGGTCTGTTTTGACACACATCGACACACACACACACACACACACATATATATATATATATATATACAGTTCATTCCAACTAATTATGGGTCGGGCATATATGCATATCTGGCATATCGGTGCGACTTAACGAAAGAATCGTTGCTCTCTTAATAATATATCTGAAATGTAGGCAGTATTTTAGTATTTTATTTATTATACCTGCACACACAGCAGGTTATGGAAAACAGGGTAGTCTTCTTTGATATAGTGTTAAATATTTTGAGAGGAGTATTGTCATTATGATAATTCAAGATAAACATACCTAAAATTCATCATTACAATACATATTAGATACTATATTTGACTTACCAAATTAGCTTAAGAAGCATTCTGGCTAATTGGTGATTCGATTTGAAACTGATTGCATTTTGCAATTGCTTTTGATCCCAAATTATAATTGGAATTATGTACATATATCGTTTTCCGTTCAAGATCTTTTTTATTATCAATATACCTTTATCGAACAATGCCACATTCAATTGCAACGCTGTTGCTGCTTATCACGAGCTTCTATTTTTAGGAGAGCCGAACGAAACGAAAGCACAGATTTTATAGATAACGCTTTCTGTTTGGATACAAATGATTGTTCAATGATGTTGTTCAAGTATGTCTCACGGTGTCTTCTAGCCTACTTACTCACTCACTCACTTACTTTTATTTTTTAAGTTACCCAATTTCGGGAATCTCTTGGCATATGCAACATCATTTGTTGTGTAGTGCAGTGTCGTGGAATGTGTAGCTTAGTCGCGGGGATCAAGCCCATATGATCGTTATATATGTAGATGTATAAATCTGATTCGTTATTCTTTCAGATAATCGCCGTGCCTGCATACATCTCATAAGAACTTAAAGCATATAAGCACCCTACACGACACACATACCACAAAACACCACACAACACCAAACCACACCACACCAAACATTTCATACGAGAATCTGTAGCCAAAACCAAATCATTGACCAGCATCTTTAAGATTTGCCCACACATCAAGAAAAAACTATGTATTTAATATTTGCTAGTATTTCTTTTTTTGGGACATTCACTTTTTTGTTGTCTGTGCTTAGAAAATAATATATTTTTTTTTTAAATATTGACTTTATGTTCTGACTATAAAGAAAGAAATGCGAGCAAAAATAGCAATCAATCAGCGGGACTTTAGACGTAAGGCAGGCAAATAGACTTTTTATTTATACAGATTATAAATACATATATATAAAGATTTATATATAAATATATATATATGTAAAATACAAATTACATAGCAGTATATATAAATATATTTTTTTTTTACTAAATAGTAATTTATATAGAAATCAAATACTAATTTAATGCTTTTATGTATTAAAGTTAAACTAAACTAAACTAAACGATACGAAACAAAGCACAAAAAGCATATCCAAAATTATACATATATGAATTAATAGTTATGCTACATTTATATAGAAGTATATAACTCAAACAGAAAACAATTGATAATATGTTGATAATAATGATAAATATTATTCATGATAATGCTGATGATAATCACACACATAATGCTAATAAATTTCATATATTGTTTGCAAGAAGATTAAACAAAAAAGAACCAACATTTAATTATACGTGTTTCTTATTCATAAGCCATACGGATAAAAGAGCCAAAGATGAAGAACAACAAATGTTCTCAAAAATATATTCTTCAATTTGTTCATTTGGTCTTTTGGATCGATTTGGATTATGTTAATTGTCAGATAAGAGCAGGTCGGCTGTAATCAATTGCGTTCAGCCTGATACAATTACTTTAATTTGAAGCACTACAATTCAAATATGTACACTATTCACCTAATAACACACACACACACATACACGTACACACATACACACACACACTCACACACATACACTACTCCTCACATGCTACCCGTAATTTCCAAGGCACATAGTTAACTGCATTAACTTTTAACTAATTATTGATAAAATATATAATATACACTCACACCATATGTGGCATTCATGTTGCGTATTTTGGATATATTTAGACTTATTATTATTATTGTTTTTGGTTTGTTCCCCGATTTCGTTTAGTTTGCAATTTAACATATTTTTTTATTATCATTTTTCCTCCCCCCAAATATAAAGGACCTTCTTATTAGTTTTCTATGTTGAGTTTGTTCTTGATTCGTTACTCGCTACAATCACTCGTTGCTCATTGGCAAATAAACGAATACGATGCCATTGGCCTTTTCGCTGACTCGTTGCGTCCTCATCGTTGAGCGAGTAGTACTCGTTACTTTTTCAAGCTAAACTCAGGCTAACTTTCCTAGACTTATTGCATCTTTTAAGATACAGTGCGAGAGAGAAAGACAGAGAGAGAGAGAGAGAGCAACACACAGAGAGAGAGAGAGAGAGAAAGTGAGAGAAAGATAGCAATTTGCCACTTGAATCTGGTATATGTATGTATATGTGTACAAATGTTTATGCATGCATCTATGTACACAGGTATATGTATGTATATATATATATATATATATATATGTATATATGTGTGTGTATATATTTATGAATGTGTTTATATGTACGATGTTGTGAGTTAATTTCAGTGTAGAACAGTTGGATCATTAGTCAAAAAACAAGCGAAAATATGTCCTTTTTGAACGTACAAAACACACACACACAGATATATATATATATATATATATATATTTATATATAAGTATAACTATATATATATATATTTATTTATATACATTCACACACATACATTTCACAAATACACATACCAATGCATACACTTATGCGCTTCGCAGTCGAAAAAGCAGCAAAGCGAGTTTGATAAACGAAATAAAAAAAAAAAACAAAATGAAATGAAAAAATGATAAGATAAGCAACGTCAACCACAAGATGAAGAAGAAGCACATTTAGGGAGATGCATTTTGTTTGATCTTCGTTTGTGGTTCGACGGGTGCGGTCGGGTGGGGGGTGGGGTGGGGTGCATGTTAGTGTGCGGGGACTTCAACAGCAGAAACAACTACTACTACAACAGCAACAGCAACAACAACAACAGCAACTACAATTACAACTACAACTACAACTACAACAACAACTACCTCTTAAGTGTTACCAAGTGAACTAAAGCAAAAACCAACAACTGTTTTTTTTTTCTCTTCTCTTTGCATTTAATGTCACACACACACACACGCACACACACACACATATATACACATGTGTGTGCCTGTATATTATGTGGCAACCAATCAAAACCAAATAAAAATCACACCTAAATCGACACTTTGATGTCGTCAAATATCTGTCTGAAACGGACGTATAAACTACCGAATTCGATTCGATAACAAAAAAAAATTAAAAATATATATATATATATATACATATATATGTGTGTGTGTGTATATAATGTGTATATATGTATTCGCTTGCTGCTGCTGCTATTTACGACTGCGTTGGCATATTTAACCAACTCATCCAACGCGATCCCCAACAAAAAAAAAACCACAACAACAATAATGACGACAACAATTATTTCGGTTGGACAGAGGGCGAACAACAACAATTCCACGATAAACAACAACAACAACAACAATAACAATACCAACAACAATAACAATACCAACAACAACAACACCAATAATAATAATAATAGCAGCAGTCCCAATTCTGGAACGCCTGGCAGCAATGGAAGTGGCACAAACAGCAGCAGTGCAGCAACAACAACAGAAACAAACAGCAGCAACAATAACGGCGGCGTTGGCAGCAGCAGCAGCAATAATAGCAACACCAACAGCAACAGTAACAGCAACAGCAACGATCTGGATACGGAGCTGTGCATTTATACGAATTCGATGGGCGACGATATGCTTGGATTTACTCTGCCCGGCTTTCATCTGCAATACGATAATGATGATATTGAGAATGATAATATCGGTGGCAACGATAATGGCAATGGTAATACCAACAACAACAACCACAACCACAACAACAGCAGCAGCAATAACAACAATGGCAACAACAATCGACGCGTTGTTGTGGGCGGTTTCTGCAAGAATTGCAATGTTGTCTGCTACATTTTGTTCGATTCGCCATTGGGGCGCATGTGTAAAAGTTGTCACACGCATTGGAGGTAGATATTCCTGTATTCCAATCTATGTTAAATATATACAACACAAAAAAAAAAAAATATAATAAAAAAAAAAAACAATAACTACAAAATGAGCTAAATATGTTGTTAAAATCTCAAAGCTAATGCTAAGTTTTTCTCTCTCTCTCTCTCTCTCTCTCCCATTTTTTCTCTACCTGAACCCGTACAAAAAACCGAAAAAAAAAACAACAAAAAATTAAACAAAAATGTTGCATTACCTGTTGACCAACAATATGTCCAATTACAAATCAAATACACACACACACACACACACACACACATGCATATATACATACATACACACATACATGCACAACATTCTCATTGACTTGCATTCATTTCTGTTGCTTGTGTGAACCGTTCTCGTTTCGTCCCCGTCCCCGTCTCCGTCTCCCACCTGCAACGCTTTCATTCGCTGCTCTGACACAGACGTACGGGCAATCGGCGTCCCATCTCCGGCCCGGACAGCATTGCACTAACAAAACGTTCCACACACACCAGCGCCGCTGCTGCCGCGGCAGCTGATCGCTCCAAGCGCAAACCGCCACGCGGCATGTATATCAACCACGATGATCTCACCGCCTTGGCCGGCTGCAAAAATCCATTAGAATATTTAGCCGAAGGCGATCGTAGAGTTGCCTCCCTTATGGCCGAAGTAAGAAATTCCTCTGTAAGCCTTAACCCCATACCCATCATCTTTTTGTTTGTTTGTACTTGCTGCCTCCTCGCTTGGTACTAATCACGATTCCAAATGAGAGATTCCCAAATTTCACATGCTAAAATCTCAAGCCCCAAGCTTAGTTCCAAGTCGTCCAACTATTGGTTCTCAGTATATTATGTGCTTTGGTCTTTTATGTGTTGTTTTCTCTCAGCTTAGTTGTGTTTCAGCATCTTTATTAGGCTCTACTCCTTAATGTGTACACCTGGAAATGGTGCAGCTGTAGCCGATTCGGGAGACATTTTAACAGATCTAAAATAAAACGAGTTAATAGCGAAATAGTTGTTTTATATTTGAAATGATTTCCTGATCAGTTGCAACTTTTGAGCAATTGTTTTTCTCAAGCACCGATTAGATGAAATCGAAAATTCGATAGATGATTTCAAATTGAAATTGGAAAAAGTGAAATTGTCAACCAGGCTTGGATTGCATGTGTTGTTTATTTTTTAATTGGTAGTAGATGTTGTCCGTAATCCCGCACCAAAACATACACACACTCGCACACACACACACATATGCATACACACACATATATACGCATAAAATATCACACACACACACACACTCACACACCAGCGAGACAATCGACTCACTGACCCGACTCGACCCAATTGCAGATACAGAAGAATAGGCAAACGATGGAACAGCTGGACAAGGACTGCAGCGAGATTAATCCGGATGACGGAGCAGGAGGAGGTGGCGGCAGCGGCGGCGGCGGAGCTGCCACTGCTGCTGCGACCATCAACACGGTTGCCAACACTGAAGCAGCCGCTGCTCAACCCCGCATTTCGGCCCGTTGGACACCAGATGAGATTCAAGTGGCGCGGCTCGCGCTGCGCGACTATGGCAAAAACTTTCCGGTGCGTGGTGCATTAAATCTGATGCTGTTAACATTCTAATGCTATATTTTCGTTTCAGATGATAGCCAAAGTGGTGGGCACGAAGACGGAGGCGCATGTGCGCACTTTTTATGTAAACAAATGCCGACGCTACAATCTCGATCAGATTGTTAAGGAGCACGAAGCGAATGCGTCCACCAAGGCGGAAGAGTCGAACGTCGAGGAGAGCAGCGATGCTCAAGCTGCAGTTGCTGGACCTGCAACTGCAACTGCAGCCGTAACTGCTACTGCTGCTGCTGCTACCACTGCGGTGGCTGGTGCCAGTGCCAATGTGACTGCAGTGGACGGCGCTGCAGTTGTGGCCAGCAAATCGACAGCCAACAACGATGCTAGCGAACCCAGCAGCCAAGAGTTGTCCAAAAAGGAGGAGGCAGCAACAGCAACAGGAACAGCAACAGCAACAGCAGCTGCATCATCATCATCAACAACATCATCAACAACATCATCAACATCATCATCATCGAATGCCAGCAACACAAAGAAGAAGCCAGAACTGATGAATGCCGCAGCAACAACCATTGCGCCGAAGACAAGCGAGAGTGCAACTGGTGCAACAGCAACTGCACCAATTGCTGCTGCTGCTGCTGGGAATGCCAATGGCTCTGCAGCAGCATCTGCTAACAAGTCAATAGCGGCGATTACCAACGCGCCAACCATTACCATTGTGGATGAGTCAGATACGGCGACCAGTTCCAGCAGCGATCTGGCGAACAGCAACAGCAACAGCAACAGTAACAGTAACAGCAACAGCAACAGCAACAATACTCCGCAAACAGCTGCCAATGCCAATTTGGGCACATCGGGCATTAGCAGCACGACGAGCAGCAGCGCACCAGCCAAATCATCATCGACGAATAGCAATCACAACGATGCTGACAGCGAGGAGTCGTCCGCTTCGCTGAAATCAACTGCCGTCGCGGTTAAGCGTGACAATTCCCAATTGGTAGGTTAAACACACACAAAACAATCAATCGCTGTCAATTTATCGCTGACGATTGTCTTTCAATATTTATTTAACCAGAACGACACTATCGAAATGCCGCCAACCAAAAAATTGATGCTACCTGTCAGCGCCGAGTTCCTTGCCAAGTGAAAGGTGCACTGTGCGCTCGCAACGAGGAATACTGAGCTGGTCTGGTCACAGGCGGATATATCGCACAACGATATATCTACATCTATATACAACTATCGTTATATCGGCTAGCCGTTAAGCCCAAAGGTTGTGGTGTGTGTGTGTCTACATTTTAATAGATTAGTCTTTTTTTTTTTTTAGCTACCCAAGAACTCTATTCTTAATTTGTATTTTAAGGACTTTAAGGAGACTTATCTGCTGACACACACACACACACACACACACACACACAAACAAACATTTATAGATTTGGTTAATTAGTGGAATGTTTATTTTTATTGTTTCGATTCTTTTTTCTATTTATCCAATTGAACAGGGACCGTTCTAATTATGTTTTTTTTTTATTATAAATATCACGAATGATTCTTTTTTTAAATTGATGTATTTACTCACATATAGAATGATTATTTATATGTATGGAAAAGAGCTTATTTTAGAAAATTAAGTTCATCAAAATACAATTAATTTTAATTTTATTTTTTGTTTTTAAGATGTTTTTGGTCTCTAGAAAAAATAATAATATTGGCCTGAGTTGTTTTCGTAAAAATCAAGATATAATCATTATTACTTATGCACAAAAGTCCAGAAATGAAAAATCAATAATTATAAATAATCATTACTTGCGGTTCCTGCTGAGTTTCAAATATGCATTCTACAATTTGTTTAACATTTCACGTCTTCACACGTTGATTTGGGGTGCATTTAACAATGATGAATACTAGTTGGTAAACCGTTTTTTCTTCTTTCTTTAAGACATCACAATCGCACGATATATGATATAGACTTGAGAGCAGTCTGATCCTTTATCGACTAGGTTCTTTTTTTATCCTCATTTTTTGATTCCATGTATATATACACACATATATATATATATATATATATATATATATATATATATGTTTGCAAATGAAGACATTGCTCTTAACTGTAGATGGAAACTAGCAATTTCAGGCGTTTCTAGTTTAGAGGAATGTCTCCTAATTTTACACACGCAGACGGGACAAGAAAGATAGACACACATCGATAGACAGACATAGATAGACAGACATAGATAGACAGACGTAGATAGACAGACAGACAGATACACAAATGGTTTTGCTGGATGACTGCTAAGAAGCAGCAGATCCATTTTCAACACAACAGGACAAGAGAAACGAGAACAGACATGCAACTGCAGTAGAGAAAAAGTTACTACTACAAATTATGTATTTAATAAATATAATATTAATATTAATATTAAAAACGTGAATATTGTATGATTATAAAGTGTTAAACCTAAAACTCACACATCCAACATTTTTTTTCTTGCTGTAATTTAGCATAAATATATATATATATATATATATATATATAAATGTATGTATGTTCGTTTGGGTAACGCTTGTGTACAACAACAACAACAACAACTCTCACATAAACACACACAACACACACATACAGACAAAACAATAACAACACACACTCCACAGAGCATGACGGGTGTTTATTATGGTACAATTTTCTTATATGCATATATATGATACATTAATTTTATTTTTAGAACTTTTAGAACATTATTCTTTTTCGTGTTTGCCTTTGTTTTAAATAAAAGTATATACATATACACACACACACTTACACACACACACTTACACACACACACTTACACACACACACATGCTAACAAAGTGTATACAACAAGCGAAAAGCCCGTCGAAAAACATAAATAAAAACATATTATAATTAATAGATGTATGCGCATTTTCATTACAAATTACAATAAACAATAAAAGCGAGTTGAGAACAAATGTAACGAGGCACATCCGTTCGATAGACAATTCCAATTAAAGTCCAAATCGATTATTGATTCTTCTCTACTCTTTCTAGGCGCCATAATAAGTCTGAGCAAACATCGAATCAGACGAGTGGTTTAACGAGATCTCAGCCCAAATGGGCTGATAGTCAATAATATTGCCTTATTCGACTAGGCTTTTAATTTTGTTGTTGCTGTTGCTTGAGAGAGCTTTCATCGATTCCCTCCCGAGCTTCTAGTTGCTTTGTAATTCTGTAAAAATGTATAAAAATAGATAAATTCAAAATTACGGAAATAAATGCAAGACGATAAATTGGATGGGATGTCTGCTGTGATTTAAATATTGGCAATAGCTGAAGTTTCATTTCTTACCTTGACCGTGGTCAGTTGCTTTAACCTTAACCCAATCACAGTCACCGCTGCCACATCGTGCGAGCTGCAAGGAGCTGATGCCCCTAAATATGCCCACCGGTCATCCTCAACGTCAACGATCTATTAAATTACAATGCTTTCGCTGCATCGATCTGCATGTCGGTGTTTATTCTATTCCAATAAAGGCACCTTTGTACAGGAGCTGGACAACTGGCATACAACTGGGTCCCATACGCCATGCAGTCGCAACGAGGTGCATCAGATTGTGGAGCAACTGGGCTGGCAGTTCGCAGATAACAGTTGTCATTTGACGAGCACTAATCAATTGTAATCACTTCTTGGATGCAGCGATGCGATTTATCTGCGGCCCTCAAATACCCAACTGGATCATTCGTCTGGCCTACTTTGTGTGCTGCGTGCCATTCCTCGAGCGTTGCCTGTCGCCCGACTGGCTCACACCCAACTGGATGGATAGACTCCAAAACAAACAAACAAACAAACAGGCAGACAGGCAGACAGACAGACAGACAGACAGACATACATTGTGGGCGGGGCGTCACTCGCGCTGAGAGAGGGCGGAGACAGGCACAGTCTCAGAGACAGAGACAGAGACAGAGAGCAGCACAGAGCCACAAATTGATTTTCCTTTTTTTTCTTTGTTTGTTTGCTTTTTGGGGGTTGGGCATACCAGGCAAATCCTGCCGTTGTTGTTTTTCCTTCTTTTTTGTTTTTTGCATGTTGTTTTAACGAGTATATCGATTGCCAACGATTGAACGCGCACGTGTGCATTTACAGATCTAGTTAAGGAAATACCCGATGAGATGGGACAAATACAGACATAAATACAACTACAACGCTTATATACATCTTGGCATATTGGCAATTTAAATGGAATATATCATTGAATAATAGCTTTAGTCTTTGGTTTCTACAACTGTTTGTATATTTATGTGTTGTTATATGGCAAAAAACCAACTCGAGTTGAACTAATTTCAGTTTGAAGATATTATAGATATGTATATAGATATATAGATTATAGATATAGAAAATTAAAGTCTATAACATGAACAAATGTTACATACCATAATAATATATACATATCCTTAATCATATTATGAACTTTTCCTCATGTGTATATATAAAATATTAATATTGTTTTATTAATAACGCAATATGTAAGTACTTCAAATTGTTATTCATTTTCCAGTTGATCAATTTTGGAGTAATTCATAACTGTTGAAAGCGTAGATTTGATAGAAAATGTGAGACTTTTATTTAAGTTACTCACCTCAGTAGCCCTTCATATATATTGATGACTTTATGCGAGCTATCGTATGGCATACAATCGAAGTAGATATTAAAGTATACAAAAGAATTTCCTGCTTAGTTACGTACACATCAAATACAATGGGATCTCTTTCGGGAGCCAATGGAGAATTTGCTGAGGTCTGCACTACTCAGATTTCACAACCATATTGCTGCTGCTGGTGCCGTTGATCGTTGATCGTGTTGTGCTTATGTGGTCAGATTGTATAAGCAATTGCAAAAATGTAATAATAATTTGCAATAGAAGTTAAGCCTGCGATCTGGGTTTCAAATCTTGGCCAGAAAATGAACCTATACAACTATTAATCTGATAAGCACTTCAGCCTGATTAAGATCAAATTTATTAAAATAAAGAAATAAATGAATAAAAAATTAAGATATTACCTGCAATGATAAAAATTTGTTGTGTTTTTTATTAGTTTTATTTATTTTTCATTTTGCTGTTTTTTGGCATAATTTGTGAAACATGTTTTTTGTTTTTCGTATTTAAATATATATAGTTTATGTAATTTTTTCATATTTTTTGTTGTTATATTTTATGTTTTGTATTTGTTGCGGTCATTTTGGTTTTAATGCTTTCATTGATTTAAATTTAGTTTTCATTTGTAGTGTTCGTTTTTATTTATAATTAATTATTAAATTTAACTCTCGCTTATGCATTGCTTAGCTAAAAAAAATCCACTTATAATTAGTTACACAAGTTTAAATAGTTTCGAATGATGTTTTCGGATAGCCATTGTAATTGCTATTGTTGGATTGTTGGATTGATTGGATTGATTGGTTGATGGGCACTCTTGTTCCCGCTACCTTTGTCGATGTGATCTCGCCAGTTTTGACAACGACGAATACTCGTCTAATAAAGTAACGAGTAGCGAGTAGCTTAAACTAGTTGCATTTGGATAATATTTATGAAGCTGCAGCGAGCGACTATTGCCGAGTAACGAGTGGCGTGTTAAAATTGAAGAACAACTGAAATTACCTTACTTATGGAGACTGTAGCTGAATGAATTAGTGGTGAATGCTTGGTGTGTGTAGAGCTCTAGATCTATTCGTTATTAACAATCTCTGACTTATACTAGGCGTTGTCCCATAAACGTTTTTTTTTCGTGTTTTTTTGTTTTGTTTTTTGTTTTTTCTTTTTGTAATATTGTGTAGTATACATAGGGTATGTGTGCTCGTGCATATCATACAATACTTTGCCTTTGGTTTGTGTTTTTATAATGTCACGCTAAAATCTCAATACACAATTCGCTTAGTTGCTATGACTAGTTGACTATTACAATACGCTTAAGTACGACTTTTTGCATTAGTTTCAAGGTTTTAGTTTTGGCAAAAAAAAAAAAAAAATTATTACACAGAAAAATATCAACAAGTCTTAAAAGTACATGTTTTTATTAATATATATATATATATATATATATATATATATGTGTATATATATAAGTGACACACACGTAAATTAAAGTACTTGACATTCAATAGCTTAAGTATTTTCACACACATACATACAGGCACACACACACACACACACACACACACACACACACACACACACATCCATACAGGCAATTGATACTTGACATACATGAGGAATAGTTCTAAATACATACAGATACAGATTTATAGCTATGCCTAACTAAGTATACGTGTATATATATATGTGTAATATATGCATGTATATATACATATATATATATATGTATATATATAAGTATATAGTACTATGTGTAGTATATACTTTATGTGTAGCTGCTGCCCATTTGACGCACTCGCTCCTAAAAGATCGCACTCCAAAGTTGCCAGATTGAATTGTGATCTTTTAAAAGAAGTCGTCAAAGGTTTTTGATTATGTTTGGTATTGCAGCATCGGTGCCGATAAGTTCGGATGATGCGAGCTATTCATGCGCAATGCGGATAGGCTTTTATTATACCATTCATCCTCCGGTGACATGCCTGGAAAAATATATGGTATTCCAGAAAGAGAGAGAGATAGAGAGGGGGAGAGAGACACAGAGAGGGAGAGAGAGATTAGCTCAAGTGTAGATTGAATAAACATTTTTTTTTTTTGGTATTCTTATGCATATGTATATTTTGGAAATTATTAAAGATTTCCGTGCTGCGGAAATTCACTACATAAACAAAAATCTGTATGTAGCACACACAGGATGTGCTTATATTACTGGACATGAGAGACATGGGAGACATGGGAGCCACAGGACTTGAGAAAGTTGTCTTGACTTGGTTTTCGTCTTGCTTGGCCGGAAATTCATTTGCTGAATTTTCATTCGTCGTCGCCTTTTGCACAACAATTTCCCATTCTCCAACTGTCTCCATATTTTTCTATCGCCTCATAATATCCGGTTAAGCTGGCCCTGTGCTAAGCCATCCCTTTGTTGCCATTGTTATTAGTATTTAATATGCATATATAATAATAATATTATACAATTGCGTGTAGTTGCCATACGCAATCATTGTTTATCTCTCGAGTTTTGTTTATGGCTTCAGTTGATAAATTTGATGACAGTGGCAGTAGTCGAGACGGCGACATTCAGCTTAATGAATGCAGCCGACAATCATAACAATCAATCGGAACTTTACACCTCATTTCCCAGTCTGATATATATGTATATATATATATATATATATATATATATATATATATATATGTATGTAACTTGATCAACAACAAAATCCCTATAGAGTAAGGGCGAGCTCAAATTTACATTGACTTAAATTGGCTTTGATTCAAATTTATGAAGTATATATACACTTCGCATATAATCAGATACAATCCAATAAAATAACCTTTCACAGTCCTTCTACCTTCTGCCTATCGATTCATCGCGGCTCTGATTTAGTTGGCAACGGTTATCTTTCACTGCTAGCCCCTGAGTCCAGTTCCAGTTTCATTGAGTTACCAAGGAATCTATAACGACTCGGCTACTGATGCTGATCAAGAATATATAAACCTTATGGGTCGAACACATCTCCTCCCTCTGCAAGGGTATAGAATACAAGATTATTCAATAACTGAAAAATAGTGAGGGGAAAAACCTGAGAGCACCATAAGAAATCAATTAAAAGAACGATTTGTCAATGCTCTCCAAAGAGAAACTTTTTGAGCAGGGTAAGAGAGTTGAGTGCTTCAAGTCACCCACAAAAAGAGAATGAAATCAGACGCCAACAGCTCAAAAGCCCCCGTGTGGCATAGAAGCATGAGTGAAAGCTCCAACAGCCCCGATCGTGGCAGCAGTTAAAAGGCACAGAATGCAAGCTTTTTAAATCAGTTTGTGGCAAGTGGCGGGCCACATTCAACACGTCCTCGCAATTGCTTTGCGAGATCAGAGCAATTTTTGATGCTCGATCGCGATTGGTTGAACGCTTGAAATAGTCAGCGATAGATATTATTATTATTATTATTGTGAACTTACCCATCGAGTCTTGACGCACGCCCACGGAGCCCATATTCGTGCTGTGCGCCATTGAGAATGGCTGCGTCATGCCAGGATATGAGGAGGCGCCCATTTGGAAGAGATCCTGCAGTGCAAAAAGAAAGCAAGTTGTTCCCCATTATAAATGTGTGTGTTTGTGTGTGTGTGTTGAATGTGTGCTCAATTTACCTGTGGATAGCGATTCATGGTGTTGTGGTGTGGATAGGGCTGATAGCCACGGGACACGCTGTAGCCTTGAATGTTCCGCATCATGCCGTTGCACGACGGGATCACAGATGGTGCCAATGCCTTTTGCAGCTGCTTCTCCTGCTTGCGGTATTTGGCTCGTCGATTCTGAAACCAAACCTGCAACAACAACAAACAAGTTTGGTAAGAGGTAAGAAAAGTGAATGTACATCAATTAAAGCGTTGCCGGACCTTTAAGTTGTTTAAATTAGCCAAACGTTCCTCACCAAAAAAAAAGAAAAAAAGAAAAAAACCTCACACAAAAAATAAAATGAAAGAAAGAAAAAGAAATGTCACTTTGAAAAACTCTCGTGAGGGTAAAAAACAGTTTTCAGCTGAGAGGAGAAAATGGAAAGCGGATGATGAAAAAAGGCAATGGCAAATGGTAAGAACTCCCCTCCCCCCTCATGCCGTGCATCATACTGCTTGCCCCATACTGGGGGCGTTCTTGTCTGTCGACGTCGTCGTCGTCGTCGTCTTATGAGTGAAAAAATCTACAAAATTGAAATTGAAAATAAGTTGACGACGCTGTTTGTAAGCGAAACATCGACGGCAGAATGTGTGTGTGTGTGAGTGTGTGTGTGTGTGTGTGTGTGTGTGCGCTGCTTAGACATTATTAAAGATGGTCCTCACGATTGCGACTTGGATGCCGGAGTACGGGCTGCTGGCTGCTGGCTGACGGCTGCTTGCTGCTTGCTGTGGGTCCTGCGTCTTGATGGCAAAAAGAAATTGCCAAGATGAAAGCCCGCGCCAAGCATAGACAACATGCAGCGGGGCCGGGGTGGGCGGGTTGGCTAGAGGCTTGCCTCGGCTGGGTTGGGTTGGGTTGGGTTGGGTTCGGGGTTGTGTAAAAATTTCCGACATTTTGAAAGCTGCTCAGCTTGCTTTGAGTTACTTACAAGGCAGCGAGCGCCCTGTAATGGCGGCCCAGACAAGTCCACAGGGGGTGAGGACGGGTGAGGATGGGCCAGGGGGTAGTTTGTGTGTGGGTGAATCGGTAGGTGTGGGGTGGAGTGGAGTGTTGCGAGTGGTGGTTTGGTTTGCTTTTACTGGGGCCAAAGGCAGTCAGACATCTTCCTCCTCCTCCACGTCGTCGTCGTTTCTTGGACGTCTTTGGCATTTTTCTTGTATTTATTTTATCATTATTATTATCTTTGTCCATGGCTATGTGTGTGCAACTCTCTGTGTGTGTGTTGGTTTTAATGAAAAATACAAGCTTGCTAGCAGTCAGGCAGTCAGGCAGTCAGACTGGCAGTCGGGCTGGCAGTCGGGCTCTTTGGCCCCTGCCCCTCTCTGTTTTGGGGGTTGTTTTCTGAGCCCACTTGATGGCTCGTTCGGTTTCATTTGGTTGGCTGCCAGCATAAAAATGCCAGCCCAGAGTACAGCACGTTTATGTGTGTGTGAGTGTGTGTGTGTGTGTGTGTGTGTGTGTTAAAAATGCTCTTAACCATCAGCTATGAGATGTTTGTTGGAGGGTTGAAATTGTCGAAACGTTGTCCCCGGTCTGAGTGTATATCTCTCAGTTTGTCTATCCAGCCAGTCCATATAATGCTGTATGTATGTGTGTGTGCGAGTGTGTTTGTGTGTGTGTGTGTGTTGGGGGCGGAGTAACTCAATTAAGGATCCATTTGATGGCGCACACACACACCTCCAAATAGATGCACATACAAAAAATAAAATTTAAAAACAAATTTTAAAAACAAGCTCTTTGAGATGCCCTATAATATATATATACTCGTATATATATTATATTATTCAGATCTGATGTACTTTATTTGTTAAACTATTTCTTTTTTTTCTCTTTCGATTTTGTTAAGATTTGTTTTATTGAAACATTTTTGAAACTAACTTTCCAACTCATACTGAGAATACTAATTCATAGAGAGTATTCGAGTTTACTTCGCAATTTCTTTTAAGAATAAATACTTTACATCTATCTGTCTGAAATGTTGCATACTTTGTTTAATTAATTTTAGAATATTTTATTTTAATTTTGCGCTTCTCGCGCTGCTGCGGCTAAAGTGGTCAATCTAAATAAGCAGGCAGCCTAACTAATTATATCAATTATTACTGCAAATAACCATGCATTAAAAATATACACAACACAACACAACACACACACACACACCCGCACACACACACACACACACACATATACATATATACACTTAGAGTTGTTGCTGCCGCGACGGAAATATGAAAATTAAACGTATTCAAATTTAATTTACGTTCAACATTTAATCAAATTTTGACCCGCATAACGTTCAGTGCAATGTTTTGTACTTTGGTTTTTTCAATTCAGCCCCGTTTAGGGTTTTTAGCCTAATTGTTTTTGTTGTTGTTGTTGTTGTTGTACTTCTTTAGTGTTGTCGTTGTTGTTCTTGTTGTTATTGTTGCATTCGAGTTAGCTCAACATTTGGCTAAATGTTTGCGGTGCGTTGACCTACAAAGAAGCAGCGAAACTAAACTAATCTAATCCAATTGCTATTGTGTTTCACACACACGTCCCATAAATGGCTACTTTAACCATTTCCCTGCCAAATGTTCGTTTATCTCATATTTGGAGTTTTACCTTTTTACTCGCCATATATACAATCTGGTTGTCTTTAATTCTTTTGGGAATATCGAGACTTGTTATTAATTATTTCAACACCACTTATATCATATTTCTTATACATAACTTCCCATATATATGTGTCTATATAGTAACTTCCAGCTTTATCCATATAGTAACTTTCAACTATTATTTTGGTTTATTTAATTATATTTACTCTAATTTTATCCGTTCTCTTTTTCTTTCTCTTTTTGTTACATTAAATAAATTTTCTTATGGATTCCCTAAGGCGTTGGAAATTTTAAAAAACTATAAATATTTAAGATAAAAGATGATTGCAAATACTTTGACAAATACTCCTGGAATGCAAGTAGAGCTAATATTATTATTTTTCTGATTCTGTTTCTATTTTCACTATCTCTTCTTCTGTCTCTGTGTTCCATATCCCATGATTTCGTCTTAAGATCATGAATTCTGTTTAAATAATAATAGAAACTAAACTAAATCAACCTTTTTGGCCTCTCTTTCTGCGATTGATTTTGTAACTCTTTAATCATTGCGCTTTCAACCGACTGCAATTGTAATTGAATCGAAAATATACAAAAGTTAATAGCCATTTGTGCATTTTTATTGTTTATTTGCTTGGGCCACATCGAAAGATTCAATATGCATGGAGTGGGCCACAGAACTTGCCTCTCATTTCTGTCTCTCATTTCACTGAAAAAATGTATCTTTTGCCTCGCACTATTTATGTGCAGCGAATCGAGAGAACAGTTTCGCTTTTGCGCAATCAAATTACAATACAATATGCGAGTGGAAAGAATCGCACTTTATTTCACATTCACACACTCGATTTGTAAATCGAAGAACAAAAGCATTCGATTTCGATAATAACAATTATTCGAGACGACCATTTTGACAGTGTTTATTCTGCCAAGGACCCGTTTTTGTTTGGCTGATTTTTCAAATAGTAAATAGTAAATTGAATGTCTTCTTTGATCTAAATAAAGCACATAAGATCTGAGCTGTCAGGGAGTTGAACTTCCTCTGTCAACACTCTCTCGATGTTCTAATGGGCTTCCCCTAGGTTAATTAGACATATATACATATGTATATATTATTAATTCAGGAAGCTATACTCGTATTAGTTATAATGAGCTAGTGAAGTTCAACAAATAGTAAGTAAATCGATTTGACAAGTAATTGTGGGATAATCTATGGATGAGATGAGTTAGAACTATCCACAGCTAAAACATTCGTCAGAATCAAGAAAGAACGGTTATCTTGGGGACACCAAAGATTACATACCCTTGCAATCAGTTGGTTTAATTTAAATATAGTAATCTGTTCCAAACGGGTCCGACATAAGTGCTGCCAATGTATGCCAAGTGTCATTAAGACAGACTGATGGATTTGGCTATAACAAGAATATATGATCTTTGTACGGCTCGATACTGGATCTTCTGCAGTGTGTTATAAATTGTACGACCAAATTATCGTACACTATTTAAGGATATAATGATGGTTCGGACTTTGAATTCAATGTTTATACAATTTCATTTGCCTTACTCGTTTGTAGCACTTGTTTTACTCTAAACTGAAGTCTCTGGATTCTTTTTCTGAATATATTTTAGCTGTTGGGGAAATCGGATGCATTCGATGAGTGCAAATTGGAATTGTACACTGATTAAGTTCTAGTTAGTTATACCTTAATAATATGACTGAAAGTAATTGGTGGAAAAGATTTCTTAATTAAGGCATCAAGCATTCGCTATTCACATTCACCATTCACCATTCACAATTCGCTATTCGCTCTTCGGGTATTCGAATGTCATACGAGTAGTTTGGGAATAAATGTGACAAATTTGGTACTTTTGGCAAAATCTCTGCTTGATGAATTTTCCAAGCAGATGTGGCTAGCAACGCCCACCTTAACTCCCCTCACCAACCACCACCACCTCGTTCATCCTGTCCAAAACGAGACGCGCCTCGAAGCAAGCATTAAATTTGCAATAAAATATATACACGACAAATTTCGTCAACACCAGCAGCAACAACAACAACAACAACCAGAATTATGATGTAGACATGACATGTTGTTGTTGTTGTTGCAGTGGCTGGCTGTTGTTGTTGTTGTTGCTGTTGTAGTTGTTAAGTGAGTGGCAGAGTCAAGTTGTAAGCAAACGCCAAGCGCACTCGTCAAATTACCAACAGAACTCAAACCTGTCTCTCTGTGTGTGTGTGTGTGTGTGTGAGTGTGTGTGTGTGCCTTGTTATTAGAGGGTTGCGGTCGCTGTATGCGCCGGGGAGAGAGGGGTTGAGGAGTTAGAGGCTCGTGCAGTGCTGCTGAGGGTGTATGTGTAAATATTTGAACATTTGTAGAAAAATATGGTTTATGCTGTGCTAATAGCCCGGCATTTGCCTGTCATTTGATCGCCAACAAATATCCTGATTGCGAGTGCAGTTTTTAGATGCTCAATCCGATTGTAAGTCTACATATATATATATCAATCAGTTGCTTATTCAGCTCACATTATTATCGGATCAAGCGGCTGGCATATAAATATGTCATATTGCTGGTAGCTGGTAGCTGGTAGCTGGCAGACAAATGTTATTTCGCTTTCAATAATAACTCATCTCATCTCGAGTACAATTGAAAACGGAGAGCAGACAAAAGAGTTTGTATTTTTGTTTATCGAACAGAATAATATTTAGCTAATCATTAAATTGAACTAGTTTACTTTCAGCATGATGAAAAGCAAAATGTTTAGTTGGTTCAGCTGAGCAAGCATTCATTATTATTGCTAATATGCCAATGTCAGCATTGGCTTAATTTGATTTGTTTAAATGTGCTTTGAAAGCTCAAAGTAGCTACAGTTTAGAAAAGTTTAGAAAAGTAATAAGATTTCAGATATTGTGTTGAAAAATAATTCAGTGTTTATTTTGTGCCAAGTGAAAATGATGTTGGAAATACAACATCGTCTTACAACACTAAAGTTGAAGGTTGTATGTTAAGCACTGATTATGTATATATATATATATATATAGCGAAAATCTTTCAAGTAAAATTTGTGATTTTTAGTCGGCTCCTTGTGCCGTGTAACTCTACACTTCAAATGGCAAATATGATGAAAGGCGCTTTCAAACATCATCTTCGACCGCTCGTTGGAGTAAGGCCAAAGCGGGGACCGGGTGGTGGTTGGAAATATTCACCCCTGACCGCAGGGACATCAGCACCCCCTGCTGCACTCACATGTTTCGCAGTCATGATAAAAACTATAAATTAATTATTACCGCGGCGCACTTGAAAGCGCAACAGAGTCGCAGCGCAGACGTGCAGGGGGAATGGATGTGGGGGTGGGGGTGGGTGAGGGTGAGGTGGTAGAGGTGGTAGAGGTGGAGATGGAGATGGAGGTGGGCCTTAGGGTATTTGTGTGCATTGGCTGGCTTTGATGCCATGTCGCCCGGAGAGAGCACTTTAGAGCGACACCCAAATGCGAAGCATTCAATTGGAATAATCGCACACTAATCGTCTAACCGAGATGATCAGCGGATAGGGCGTGCCGCCACAGGCAGTAAGGGGGCTGTGTGTGTGAGTAGACTTGGTGACCATATGAAGGCAAAGGCCCTAAATCGTATCAGTGCTCGCAGTTGTGGATTGTGAATGCGTCTGCACGAAGCCGGTGCAGTAACAACTGTTCAAAAAAAAAGAAGCCTTAATTTAAACATTCACCGCACCGCACCCCACCACTTGCACTTGTTAGTCCTTGCCCACGATCTGTGTGTGGATCCCTGGTTAGAGTAGCTGTTATACTCACTTGAATCCTCGCCTCGTTCAGCTTCGTCGTGCGCGCCAACTCCTCGCGACAGTAAATATCCGGATAATGCGATTTGGCGAATGCAGCTTCTAGTTCCGCTAATTGTTCCTGAAATTAAGCGGATTTTAATTAGGCTTTGTTGTTATATGACCTGCACTCAAACACACACACACACACACTCACACACACACACTGACTAACTTACTCAGACTTCTCTTCTTTTTTTTTGGGTACAGCTCTCAGCTTGGGGATAGGGAATGGGGAGAAGTGGAAGGGGAAGGGGGAGGGGTAGGAGATTGGTGTGATGAAGGGTTTTCTTTGGCATTGGCACAACATTTTCTATTCCCATTGCTCACTTTCAGAGAACGAATGCAAATTGTGTTGCCTACTTTGGGGCTTGGCAAAACTTCAAGAGTTGCCAACATCAAATTTCCATTAGAAAGACACACGAATGCTGTGTTGGAAAATGACCCGACACCCTCGGTTGCTTAAATAGATTCACATAATGCGTGCCAGGCAAAGACAGAATAATATTCTTACACCTATATTAGTTTTAGAAGCTGCAAATGCAGTTTTAGACGACGACAACACCAAGCAAAGTCAAAATTTTGTTGAGCTTAAAGCTGATTAATCATTTCCTTATATATATATATATATATATATATATAAGCTTTAAATAAATATTTTATTTATATTTGGATACACTTCTGGCCTTTCCAAGCTTTACAATAATTAACTGTCGTCAATTTAATCGATAAACGAATTCTTCGTTTCAATTCCTTAATGTGAGACTGTCTCAGCACAATTGAATTAATATTGTGTGATATAATACAGATAATTCTTAAATAATAAAAAGAACTTGATGTTTTTTGATAGATGCTGCGAATGCGAAAATTGATTGAGATGAAAAGTTTTGATCAAAAATAGGTTTTGGATTGGAAATCAGTTCAGTTTAGACAATAAAGTCATGATTTGATGAAATGAAATAATGAAATAAATAAACAAATACTATTTAGCCTTAAACTTGTATTTTCCATTTGTGGAAAATTACTTAAGTTACTTAAGTTTGCCCTGATTATTGGAATTAACTTGAAACTTAAGCACTTATGCAATTTATGCAGCTGAATGAACTGATGGAATTTATTTTGTATTCATGATTTAATATCATAATTGAAACGCTTGTACTTTATGTGTGTGTGTGTGTGTGTGTGTGTGTGTGTGTGTGTGTGTGTGCGTGGGTGTGTGTACAGTAGTGTACACTTAACCAGCCACTTGTTGTCATGGTTGTTGTTGGCGTCATTGGCTTGCCGTTTACTTGGGAAATGCCAAAGTTTTAATCGCAAGCGTAACCTTCACGAAATCTAATTAAAATTTCTCACTACGTGCTGCAGCAGTTGCGACACAGACAGACTAAGCCAAGCGGCAGAGAGAGAGAGACAGGCGGAGAGAGAAAGAGAGGGAGAGAGAGAGAGAGGAAGATTGAGGTAAGAGAGTGAGAGAGAGAGAGAGAGAGAGAGGGAAAGAGAGAGGGCTCTAGTAGGGATAGGTGTCATACGGGCTGGCTGACTGGCTGGCTGGCTGGCTTGCCGGCTGTGTGGGCAACTGACCTGTGTGAATGTGGTTCGATGTCTTCGTCGGGCTGGCGTTGGGCAGGATGCTGTGGTTGGGGTGTGGCCGGCGTGCTGACTCAGCGAGGATAGTCCACTTCCGGGCGATGTGATGCCGGCGGAAACCGTTGACAACCCGCTGTTGGGTTCCGGCTTCAACTTCTTGAATGCTCCTTCAGCTGCAAGAAAAATAATCATATTCATAATTACTTATATATGTATACACAATTCATATATTTCTTAAACTAAACATATTAATTTTCAGCTTAGTTTTAGCTTATTTCCAAAATGAGCAACATTTTTATACCATTTTACAAATGTTGCAAATGTTTTCTACAAATCACAGAAATTCAATTTAAGCTTGAGTATTTCCATCATGCAAATCTTAATCTTCAATATTTTCGAAACAGCTTTGTATAATCGAATTATTGCATTTTTAAATCAAAGTTGAATTCATTTTCTTTCCCAATTTATACAGTTTTTTTTTTGCCAACTTCTAAGGATAAGTTGAGACATATTTCTTGTAAATATACTCATCAAAAAGTATTCTATGTTTTCTAGATTCATAGCTCAAATACAATTGTCAAAATAAGAAGCACATTTAGACTGATTTAACTCCTAACCAGATCCTCTAAGATCCACGAAAGATGTCTTCAAATTGAAAGGAGAATTTTCCGTTGAAATGTGGAAAACTTGCTTCTTTAAACTATATCAATTAGTTTGGCTTTTATAATTGATTTTGGAAAATATTTTCATTTGTTTGTTTTAAGGAGCACTTTTAAACGTGGCCTTAAAGTAGGTGACTAGATGCAGCATATATTTAGCGGGTATGTTGCAGGCTCGCTTGTTGCGTTGACTTACAAATGTTGCATAATTATGCCCCAAAAAGCGTACAACAACAACAACAACAATGGTTAACCGCACTGCGGCCACAAGACGTTGACGCTGGCGTCGCTGTTGCTGTCGCCGTCGCTTTTGTGGCAACGTCTCGTGTCCAGACTTTTGGGTCACGTCGTCGTCGTCGTCATCGTCATCGTCATCGTCACATGAATATGCAATATGGGATAATTTATGCAAATTCTCTGCCACATTAATCGAGCTGGCATTTTGTGCCGGGTCGTGAGTCCTGGATCCTGAGTCCTGGGTGCTGGGTGCTGGGCACTGGGTACTGGGCCCTGGGATGCCACCTGCCAACTGGCGGCGCGTCGCGTGCCAAAAGGCGGCAAATTACGGGGCAAAGGTCAAAGCGCAGCTCGCAAAAGTGGCCACAAAAGTAGGGACAACGCTTTCAACGTGGCAGGTGAGCGGGGGCGGACTCGCGCACAGCATGAGTTTCAACAGGATGCCATGGCCTCTTCTACACCGCCTGGCACTTGCCACCTGACACCTGACACCTGACACCGACGTCAAATTGTGACTCTGGTTCTGTTTCTGCTGCTGCTGCTGCTGCTGCTTGGCGCTTAATTGGCGCGCTTAGCTCGTTAACAAAATTTAAACTATTTATTCATTTTTGGGGCCGTTCACACTAATTGAATAACATACAAAGCTTTCTCTCTCCCCTCTCTCTTCCCTCTCTCTCTCTCTCGTTACGATCCCCGTCCGCCCTCTTTGAAAAAGGTGCCCTTTATTTATGTAAAGTAATTCTCATTCCTCTTCGCTTCAACTATTCCCTTATCTGTCTCTCTCTCTCTCTCTCTGTTTCTCTCTCTCTCTCTCTCTCTCTCTCTCTCCTGCACTCTCTTGACCTTGTTACTTGGCCTGGCCAGCAAGGTCAAATAGCTGAACACATTATTTGTGGCTGCGGCTTTTTAATAAATCTGCTCATCTGATAAAATTGTCCTTTTAAGGAACTGAGAAATGGGAATTTATAGCTGATAACTGATAAATATGCACGCATTATGTTTTCTAAATGTTTATCTGAGTGATGCACTAGGTTTGGCGGTTAGACTAAGATGAACTTTTATTCAATGTATTCTTAAGTTGGGGTATCGAGCGCAGTATCGATATTTTCTGTTATTAACATTAGTAATCGGAATGTTGTATTGATCTTTTACATATTTTCAACACTTTCTGACTATGTTAATTCAATTGCGAATAATATGTGATTTATTTCATCTTCAGTGATGATTGTGGTTGCCATTGAATGTGACCTTTAAGCCAATTCTATAATTTCTGGGCCATTTATATTGGCTAATCTACAAAGATTTTACACAAGTTTGATCAATTTGACACAGCTCTATTTTATACTGAAGGTGTTAGTTTTCTATTGAAAGAGAAACAAATGATGGCTCATTGCTGATCAAGGATACCTATCTTAACCATCTGACTTACATTCTAGTCACCCAACAGATCACAGCAAAATCAAACTATCTTTTTGGATAGTATATTTATATATATATATATATATATATTGTCAGTTCTTTTGATGCCCATTCAGCTGTACTTGGGTAAGTGAATGGTTGAATGGATGGACAGTTTGGCTGCTGCTTAACAGCTGATTTCCTGTAATTTGAATGCCTTTAGTAGTCGTTGAGTAGATTCTCTCGACAGTCACAACAATTGTGTTAAGCCGATTGAAATGTCCGCAAATGGCAAAGGACACGAAACCGGGGTCAGACGAAAGGTGCTGCAAGGCAGGAGGCAGGAGGCAGGAGGCGATAATCCTTGGCTTTGGCGCGTGCCCAAATGGCGGTAACAATGAACCAAAGTCGAAATGGTAAAAGAAAGAGAGGCAAGCGAAAGGCGTCAAAGGGTTCGCACTCGACAATGGTTGGATGGGTTAAGAGCTGTATTCCGATCCCTAAACATCCACAAAAGACTAATACGCAGCTAATGTTCCACTCTCTGATTGTCTGTGTGTCTGTGTGTGTGTGTATGTGTGTGTGTGTGTGTGTGTGTGTGTGACTGTGCATTAGTGAGTGCATTGGTCAATAATCACTGTTGCCATCTCACAGATTTTTCGTTCCTTTTTTAAGAGACGCGTCTTTCGACTCGATAAATAATATATTACAATAATTGCCTAAGACTTGAAACGCTCTGCTTCCACAACTGATTTTACTTAATATATATATATATATATATATATATGTATATTAATAATTAATTAATATTGTTGCTCAAATCGCCTGCTTTATTTTCTGAAACCACCAATTACGCAGATTGTTTAAATGTTGGCATTCTTTGATATATCAATTATTGATTTCTATAAAAACAACAAATCTGAAGCACAATTTTAAATGGATTGCCATTGTGAATATATCAACAATGTTTTAGGAAATTGTAATTTTTGATTAAAGCATTTTATAATGAAAACTTTTGAAATAATCTCAAATATTGCGCTACAATCTCAAATCAAGGTCGACAGACAACAAAAAAACAAACAATAAACTTGAGTAAGGATTGTTTATTGTGTTGGTTTTTGGATGTTGATGTTGATGTTGTCTGGGCAAGCTGGGCTAGTTGGGCTTACCCGAAATGGTGTGATCGGAGAGACGCGAGGGGGGTGTGTGGGCCGGAGTGTGATGGTGCGAGGATGAGTCCATTCCCGGCGTGGGCAGGCCGGAATAGAGGGCGCTGAAATCCTCGGGTGTGCTGCTGCACTTGCGCTGATGGTTGAGCGACGAAGATGATGACTTGTCCAGCGTGGTGATCGGCGAGCGAGTGTCCTGGACGGACGAGGCCAAGCTGAGCAGACGATTCTCGTGGGAGCCGCTGATGCCCATTAGGCGATTATCCTGGAACGACATGAACTTGGTGTCCTGGGCGACGCCGCCGTGCTGCATGCTGTTCGCATGATCCTCGAGCAGCCCGGCCTGCTGCAGCCCCAACAGCCCACCAACCAGATTCGGACGCAGCTCGTCCATGCTCAGTTTGCCCGCCTGCCCGCAAGCGCCGGCCGCTGAGAAGTTCAGCTGCCGGCTGAAGATGGCCGGAAAGATGTTGAACTGCTGCGAATCCGCACTCGACTGCGGACTGAGCCCCAAGCTGTGCGATGCCACGTGGGGCAGCGATGCGCTTGTTGCCACCGAAACGGACGATGCCGACGCAGAGGCGGCTGCGGCAGCAGCGGCGGCAGCGGCGGCGGCTGTTGCCGCTGATGCAGCAACCGTTGTGGCGCCTGAAACCGTATGACCCTCTGACCCCGGACCGTTGCCTATTATCAGAGTGGGCGTAACGACGCCTACAATGTTGCTGTTGCTGTTGTTGTTGCTGTTGAGCAGTTGCTGCTGCTGCTGCTGCTGTTGTTGTTGCGGCAACTGTTGTTGCTGCAGTGACGCTGCGCCCGCTGGCAACTGTTGCTGTTGTTGCTGTTGCTGCTGCTGCTGTTGTTGCAGCGGCAGCACAGTGTGCAACTGATGTGCGTGTGCAAGGGCGTGTGCGTGACTGTGGGCGTGGCTGTTATTGTTGCTGCCGTTCGCTGGCAACGCTTGCTGCTGCTGCTGCTGTTGCTGCTGCTGTTGTGTGTGCTGCTGTTGCTGTGTGTGCTGCTGCTGCTGCTGTTGCTGCTGCTGTTGCTGCTGTAGGTGCTGCTGTTGACTGTTTGTGTTCCCGCTGTTGTTGTTGTTGTTGCTGTTATTGCTGTTGTTGCTGCTGCTGTTGTTGTTGTTGTTGCTGTTGTTATTGTTGGTGTTGCCGACGACTCCTACCACTCCAGCAGCGCCGCCACCACCGGAACCAGGGCCGCCGGCACAACTTTGATGTTTGAAATCCAATTTGTGGCCGGCGTAAAAACGCTGCGTATCGATATACGTTTTGAAGAAATCTATTGAATAATCCAACTGGAGGCTGTAACGCGGCGAACGCGCTCCGTGGCCGTAAACGAAAGTCCCTCCTCAGCGGGGTGGTTGGGGGTTGGTTGGAGTGGGGGAGTGGGGGGAATTGGTGTTGCTGTTGCTGTAGCTGTTGCAGGTGTCACGCTTCGCAAATTGCTTTCGTTGGCCGCTTTCCGTTTTCCGCTTTCCACTTTTGCTATTGCTTTAACTATTAATGTTTCTCGCTGCCCACTTTTTGCAATTATTTCTCAGTTTGTTTTTGTTATTGTTTTTTGTTGCTGTTGCTGTTGCAATTGCTAAAATGACATTTGATTTGCGATTCGTTGCTTGAATTTCGATATTCGATATTTGACTGATTGGATTTGGTTGCTTTGCCTGCAGCTTGTCTCTCTTTCGCGAGCTTTGGCAGAACCGATTTTCTTTCTTTCTTTCTTTCTTTCTTTCTTTGCACTATTCACTATTTATATGCATTTGTTGTTGTTATCGTTGTTGTTGTTGTTGCCGTGAAACTCGCTCGCTTTTTTTTTTTGGTAAAATGGCGACGGCTTTTTTGCGGTTCACTTGAAAAAAAAATTCGTATTGGGAATTTTTGTTTTGGAAATTTGTAACACGAAAGCACATGCAAAATATATATATATATCTATATATATCTATATATATATGTATAGAATCAGAGGAGCTGTTTTCGATAGTTGTTGTTGTTGTTGCTGTTGCTGCTTATTGAATTGCACAAGTGCGACGTGTCACGTGTGTGTTACCGTTATGTCTAAAGCCGTTGCAGCGACTGTGGGGCTTGTTGGTTCCTTGTTGGTGCCCAGAGTTGCCAGTGCAAAGCAACAACAACCCAAAAAAAACAAACAAGGCTGCGACTGCGACGGCAGCCGACACAAGGACGACGACGACGACGATGGCGACGGCGATGGCGACGGCGACGACAAATACTAAATATTTTGTCAGCTAACAATAACAAAAAATGCAACAAAAACTGCACACGTACATCAAATTATCGATGTTTTTATATTTATATTTGTATTGATAATTATAATTATATTCATATAAATATTGATAATGTTAATGCACAGGAAATCGGGCAACTATTTGTGCGTTTGTCCGTTTGTTGTTGTTGTTGTTATTGCTTTTGTTATTATTATTTGTTGTTGCTGCTGCTGTTGTTGTTGTTGTTATTGTTGTTGTTGTTGCTGCTGCTGCACGCACGCACGGCGGTACGTATTCGCGGCCGATCAAACTTAAAATGATATACAATTTCAGGCAACATACAAAATTATAACGAAATTAAGGATCATGTGCTCACGACAACAGCGACTGCGACTGCGACGGCGACGGCGACGCTGACGTTACTTACAGCAGCGCTGCTGCAACCCGGCTCAGCTGCTGTTGCTGCTGATGCTGCTGATGTTATTTTTGGGGGTTGCGGGCTGCGCGCGAACGATTGGTGGTTAGCAGAGCGCTGTCTGTGCATGTGTGTGTGTGTTGTCATGTGTGTGTGTGTGTGTGTGTGAGTGTGTGTGTGTGCGAGACCACGAATCGTTAGTCGAACTAATAATTTTGAAAAATAATGAAACTTGTGCGTGTGTGTGTGTGCCCCCAAAGGAGATGGACGAGTCTGGCAAGGCTGGCAAGGCTGGCGCTGTGCGCTGAATGCGACGGCACGAGGGCCCCTATTGTGAAAGTGAAATAATGCACGCTCTCTCACTCGCACTCGCACGAGCAGCGGCAGCCCAACTGCTGCTCTCTTGCTGTCTCGCTTTAACTTGCTTTGGTTAATTTCGTTAGTTGCTGCTCAACGTAAACGTCGACGTCAGCGGCTGCGGCTGCGGCAGCGCCTGATGCGACACGACATTCACTGTGTGTGTGTGAGTGCGTGTGTGTGTGCGTGTGTGTGTAGTCCAGCAAGCAGTTCCATATGTATGCCATGCTTCTCTTGATCCAATAAGGCTCGCTTTTGTATATTTTGTTGTTGCTCTGCTCTGCTCTACTCTGCTCTGCTCTGCTCGCTCTCGTTCTCGCTCGCTTGCGCCTCAATTTCCCGAATAGGAGAAAAATGAAACAACATTTATTCTATTAGACAGGGGCACACAGAAAAGTTTTCTTCAACGCCAGCGCCAACTGGAGCCGCCATCATGTCTGACACACTTCCTTGCCAGAGCGAGCGGAAGACATTCGGCGTGAAACGTGGCAACGCTTTGGGGAATTCCAATCCATTTGGCCGAGCGGCTTTGGCAGTTGGTCGCCACAGCGGCAGCAGCTGCTAATTTGTCGTTGTTGATAATGTTGATTAAGAAATGCACTTGAAACTTGCTTCAGCAGTGAAAGTGTGCAAATTAGTTGTATTCCCATTTCTTTTTTTTTGTTTTGTTTTTTTTTGGCTTCTCTTCTTCTTTCGTTTTGGTTGTGCAAAAGATGCAAACGATGAAGACCAGCGTTGCCACAGTTTGACACACTTCTGTCTTCTGATTTGACATTGAGCCGTAGCGATCGAGAGAGAGAGAGAGAGAGAGAGAGAAACAATGAGAGGAAGAGTGAGAGAGAGAGAGAGAGAGAGGGAGAGAGAGAGGGAGAGCAGCTAGCTCATTAATAGTTGTAAATAATGAAATAGCACTCTACTGCAATTCCAATTGGAATATGATGCAGCACTACGCATAGCTGCCATACACATTCACCCACACGCACACACACACACACACGCACACGCACGCACACACATACGCACACACATACGCACACGCACTCGCAGATAGCAACAGAAAAAATGCGCATAGAAGTTGAGAGCTTAAATCATACGCATCGAGTGGCCAGGCCGCATCAGGAGCACAATTTGTCGCTAGTGTTTGTTGTGCATGCTTCTAGTTGTGCGCCGAGAATGAAAATAATGCTGAAGCGACAGCAATGGCAGCAATGGCGCGCACACCAACACTGATGCGCACACAACGCACACAGTGCACAGTATGTTTGTCTCGCTCTGGCGTGCGCGCGCGCAATCTATAAAATGTGCTGGCCAATCAGCGGCGAGCAGCATCAAAAATGGAGTTGCTGTTGTTGTTGCGCTGCCAGCGCAATGAATTAGTGTTCGTTAAATGTGGCAGGCACTGCTATCTCTGCTGACGTCGCTGATGCCAGCGATGATGACGACGACGTCGATGTTGATGTTGCTGTTGCTGTTGACGTCGGCGTCAACGTCGACGTTGGCGCTGTTGCCACATTTCTTTGCTAGTTTGTTTTATAGGGGCGGCGTTGGGCGCTGCAGTTGCGCGCCGCTATAATCCTTAAAACAATACTTTTGAACTGGAATCCACCAAAAATGCTGCTCCAAACTGACTTTGGCTCGTCGCCATCGTTATCCTCGCTCGTTTCGTGCCGTTTAGTTGCTTGTCCTCGTACTCGTCCTCGTCCTCGTCCTCGTCCTTATTTTATTTTTCTCGTTCCCATTCTCGATGTAGTCGGGGTGGGCGCGTCTGTCCAGCATTTGCTTTGATGGTGCTCTTCCAGCTGCCTCAGCTATTGTTGATTCTTTTTCCATACACTTTTTTCTCGTTTTTCTTTAATCATTTGTTTTTTTTCTTTTCTTTTTTTCATTGCTGTATTTCTATTTTCCATTTCTTTTTCTATTTTCTAATCTTAATGCTCTGCCTTGCTCGAAACAATTTTAGCTCTTTGCTTCATATACACACATACTTACTCTGTTTCTCTCTGTGTGTGTGTGTTGTGTGTGTGTGTGTGCATATGGCCGTTAAGACCTTAAGGCAGCTGCCGAACCATTAGCCTTCGTGCTGTTTGTCAGTTTGTAGGTTGCGCCCCTTAAATTGTCTAAAAGAATATATTTCTTGAAGAAAAACATTTGAAAAAGTATCAACATCAAGCAACTGTTTATTTTTTACATACTTCTATTTATTTCTTTATATATTTTTTTAAATAAATGAAAATAAATTAAATTGATTGTCCAATATTCGACAATCTTCTGAAGTTTTAACGACAATTCAGCTTAGATTATTTTATTTTATTATCTATTACATTATAAATAAGTTGCGGTCATTTAACATTGTAAACAAAAATTGTGTGCGACGTGTTCAGCTAAGTGAACGAATTAATACACTCATCAA